GATACGGTGAATTCAGGCAGTAGGTAAATAACATGTCTCTGTATTGGTTTCATTGCATGATCATGATCTCTTCCCATTGTAAATAACAGCCTGGATAGCTCAGTTGGTTAGAGTGTTGTGCTGATCACGCCAAGGTTGCAAGTTCGATCCCTGTATGGGTCGGCTGCACAGTCCTGCATTGCAGAGGGTTGGACTGGATGATCCTCAGGGTCCCTTCCAACTCTACAATTCTAGGATTCTAAAACAGTGTTGATAAATTCAATTACCAGCTGTTACGGAAAAATCTAGGTGCGAGGCTGCTCAGTCACCCAGCTCGTCGGGCAGAGCCCACGGATCCCTGCGGAATAAAGGATGGAGTTCAGCCACCAACCGGAGCAAATAGCTGCAGACCAAAGTTTATTGCGCAACAGGTTCAATTTTGAACCCGGAGGATGGGGTGACAAGGACTTTTAAAAGTTTCTGTTTTACCCCAGCATACAGTTCATTAAGCATCATCACTACATCATTGCTATATCAGAAAAGGGGAGGGTTATACATGATTAAGGGACATGGGTGGCACAGAGGCTAGGGCTTGCCGATCAGAAGGTCGGCTTTTCGAATCCCCGCCACGGGGTGAGCTCCCATTGCTCGGTCCCTGCTTCTGCCAACCTAGCAGTTTGAAAGCATGTCAAAGTGCAAGTAGATAAATAGGTACCGCTCTGGTGGGAAGGTAAACGGCGTTTCCGTGTGCTGCTCTGGTTCACCAGAAGCGGCTTAGTCATGCTGGCCACATGACCCGGAAGCTGTATGCCAGCTCCCTCGGCCAGTAAAGCGAGATGAGCACTGCAACCCCAGAGTCGGCCACAACTGGACCTAATGGTCAGGGGTCCCTTTACCTTTATACTTGATTATCATAGAAGGAATGTGTTGGGGCAACAGGCAGATACAGGATATGTATTGGGAAGTACATTCTAAGCACCTACTACAAAGGGACAATAGAACTTTGGTTTGCATAGTCTGCCACCTGGGCAAGTCCGGAGGAGTGCCTTTGCCCAGCGATTGACACGTAGGAGTGAGTACTCCTGTGAGTAGTGACCTCCCACTTGAAGGATTATGGCGGGGAACGAGTGGTTTCCAAGTCCTTGGCCAATGAAGCAAATTGGCGGCGGAATGAAGGAAACTAGCAAAGGAGTTGATTTTATATGATTTTTAAAGCTAGGTAATTTCCTTGTCAAGTCAAAAGGATACATTTATGCATAGTATTTGTAACATTTAACAACTTTAAAGATGTGCCCCCCACACCCCGGTAATTTCCATAACAAGCTTTTCTATGGACAGTGGCTTTCTATAGAGCCTAGCCTGTGAAAGGCCGAGCAGCAGCCCCAGCATCATGGAACCACGGCCTATACTGGTGACAATGCAGTAGTTGCAAGAAAAGAAGCTGGATAGTGCATTGTGGGTAACCAGTTTTGTTGTCGTTGCATCTCCTGTAAGGATGCCCAGAGACAGCAGCTGCCTACCCTCCCAATGTAAATAATGTACTTAAAGGTGCAAGAGGAAAGCAGGTTCTGAAAAGACGAAATCAAGGCATTCCTCTCTGAGAAGCCAGCAGCACCAATATATTGACAAGCTATTTAGACCAGCATGTCTGAACCGAACCAAAGAACACCCAACCCTTGAAATTTCAATTTGCACCAGAAGATTATGCAGAGAAGCCAGCTGGAACACAACTTTTTTTTCTGACCATTTTGGGGAAGATGCTTCCATGCCACGTGCTTAGAGTGGAATTGCCATTCTTCACTTACTCTTTATGAGGTATCCGCACGACGCCATCATCCAATCATTGTCATCCTGTTTTTCCCCAATGGCTCTTCTGCCAAAAAGTGAATTTTCAGAAGAATGAAAGAGTAACACAGGCTTGACACCTGTACGATGCCTTTAGCTTTACTCTTCCATCTTTTTAAAAAAAGTATTCCCCCCCTTAGAATATTGTATTTATTGAATTAAATTTAAAAGTATTTCAAAACCACTTAATGTTTTAAATGTTTCCAAGTGGTGTGCAACAGTATGAATCAACATAAAAACACTTAAATCAATATCAAAACAGAAGCCCATTGATTCAGAGATCAGGGAAAGCTGCCACAAACAGATACATCTGAAGATATCTGAAGCAAATTATTGTTGCTTCATGTATGGCAGAGTGAAAGGCATTCCAAAGTGATGTAGCAGCAGCAGAAAATTTCCATTTTAGAGCTATCCTATGTTCTGTAGAGTGGTGCCATGAGTAACGTTTTCCTGTGTGATCTTAGAAGTCTGTATTGGGATGAGTACCCTGCCCCCAAGTTTTTGTGGGCTTTATAATGTTAATAAACGTTTACATGGCCCTGTGACTAGTCAGTAGCCAGTGCCGTTCCCTCAGCATAAAGGTAATAGCTGCATGTCCAGGTATTCCACTCAACAATCACTGCTGGGTTCTGGAGCGGCCGAAGCCTATCTTAAAGTGGGATGGACACAAAAAAACTGCAGTATTCTTGATAGTGTGGACAAATCTGCTTGTAGATTATCCCTAGCGCAGCACTAGCAAGAACCTTGTAAGGTAAGTCAGAATGGAAAGCAAAATACTGGTGGACCACAAAAGAGGTTTCAATACACCCTCAAGGTAAATCTTTAAAAATGCAGTTATAAGCACAGAAAATTGGGAAACACTGGCCTGGGAGCGCTCCTAATTGGGGAGCCTTTACCAAAGGCATCATGGACTTTGAAGAAGCACGAACTCAGGACAAAAAGGAGAAACGAGCTAAGAGGAAGGCGCGCTTGGCAAATCCTCAATGTGATCAACTCCTGCCCAGAAACCTATGTCCCCACTGTGGCCTCCACAATTACTTCTGGACTCACTGTTAAGACTGTGTTCATGGAAGACAATCTTACTCAGTTATGAGTGATCACCAAAGAAGAAGGTCAGTAGTCATGGTGACTCTAAGCAATAATAATTAGAGTCACCATCACTACTGACCTCCTTTGGTGATCACTCATAACTGAGTAGGCTTGTCTTCCATGAATAATTTGGATCTAACTATTGGAGGACCCCAAAATTGCCCTTTCATGTATGGTGGTTGTCAAATCACCTCTGGGTTGCCCTTTAAAAAAGGAATGTTCACTCTTAGGATATATGTTCCTGATCAATCTTGTTTTCTTCATTTTGAAGAAAGCTTCTTAAAGATCTCTTGTCAGGGCCCCTTTTATGCAAACATCATGAATAAATGCTCCAAAATGTTTTATAAACAGGCATCTCTTGAATCATAGCCTTCCTGACTTTGGTTCTTGTGATTAGATGTTTTCCCTCTCTCCCTTGTGGACCATTCTTCCCCACCTAAGCTGCTCTTGAAGCTTGACTTTCATTCCAGTGGATAATTAGCAATCTATTATGTTTTATGAAGATGATAATGTCAAGAAGAAAGTGGCACAACTACAGTTTACATACAGATGTAAGCTCCTTACTCTGTGTGCTTTGGGAGTGGCTCTAAATGTTCTGCAGATGTAGTTTTTGTTGTCTTTAGTTCCATTTGCTCACTTCATTGCTTTTTATTTATCGGTTGGTGATAAGGAGAGGGAGAGGGAAATGGGGAAATGTTTCATGCGAGCCACATAGTTTTCTCTTGACTGATAACTCAGTTGGTAGATCAGGAGGCTTTTGCATTAGCAGCGCTGAAGTGACCTCCCTGGGACACAAACTTGGGCACTGTATGGAAGTCCTGGGCTTCCAGACAAGACCTCGCTGAAGTGGTCCAAAGGAAAGCAGAGCAATATGTTTGGCACCAGGAGTTGCCAGAAGGAAGGTGTACAAAGCACCATCCAACCATCTTAGGGACTGCACTCTGGATTTGTGTAGGGTTCACTCCTTAGCCCTTTCTTCTCCCAAAGATATCCCACAAGGCAGTGGAGGTTTAGGATCAGTGTTTTCCTTCTCCTAGATGGGCTACCTTCCCAGGTGAACAAGCCCAAAAGCACCTTCTTGACTGTTGCACCCACTATTGATCTCCTCTATTCAATCCACTGGAGCCTGCCGTCGCATGCAGGTTCAGCCGGCCAGACAAAGCCATTTCCTGGGGTGTGGCCACTATTGCATGCTGACAACTTCTAGGAACCACAAGAGAGAACTGGGTCCCAGGGTCATCTAGTCCAACCCCCTGCAATGCAGAAATCTCAACTAAAGCATCCATGACAGACGGCCATCCAGCCTTAGCACTTCCAATGAAGCAGAGCCCACCACTTCTTGAGGGAATGCTTTCCATTGTGGAACAGTTCTGACTTACGGTCAGAAAGTTCTTCCTGAGATTTAGTTGGAATCTTCTTTCTGGTAACTTGAAGCCATTGGTTCGAGTCTGACCCTGCGGAGCTGGAGAAAAGAAACTGGCTCCATCTTGTTCTTTGGTATAATAATAATAATAATAATAATAATAATAATAATAATAATAAGGTCTGTATAGGTAAAGCTATGGTTTTCCCAGTAGTGATGTATGGAAGTGAGAACTGGACCATAAAGAAGGCTGATCACTGAAGAATTGATGCTTTTGAATTATGGTGCTGGAGGAGACTCTTGAGAGTCCCATGGACTGCAAGAAGATCGAACGCATCCATTCTTAAGGAAATCAGCCCGAGTGCTCACTGGAAGGACAGGTCCTGAAGCTGAGACTCCAGTACTTTGGCCACTTCATGAGAAGAGAAGACTCCCTGGAAAAGACCCTGATGTTGGAAAAGATGGAGGGCACAAGGAGAAGGGGACGACAGACGACGAGATGGTTGGACAGTGTTCTCGAAGCTACCAGCATGAGTTTGACCAAACTGTGGGAGGCAGTGGAAGACAGGAGTGCCTGGCGTGCTCTGGTCCATGGGGTCACGAAGAGTAGGACACGAATAAACTAAACAACAACAACAACAACAACAACAACAACAACAACAATAGCAGCCGCTGGGGATGGGAATGGTTAGCGGTATAAAGACATGTATCTATTTTTGTTTCCGACAAAGAGCGGGCCCTCGCTTGTCGGTTGTGGACCGCGGGGGAGCGCCTGTAGAGGGGGCGCTTTCCCCTTCATCGTCCTCGGCCGCCTCCGGGCCCTGGAGCCGCTTGGGCGTGGATGGGCGCTCGGCGGGAGCGCAGAGTGCGCGCTGGATGGAGCGCGCCGGGGTCGCCGTCTCGGGGGCGCAGCCGGCAGGGCGCAGCGCTCGCCTCTCCGCGGCTGCCTGCTTCCTTGCAGCGGAAACGAGGTACGTGGCTCGGCTGCGCGCACGCGTTGTCTGAAGGGGCGAGCTACCGGATTTTTATTTTTTTTAAGGGTTTGCGGGGAGTGGAGAAACCTCCTGCTACCTTTTAACTATGCATATTCATCTGGCCTGAATTAAACTCTCAGCAACCGGGGATCATCATCCATAGCAGAAAAAAGAGGGGGGGGGAGCCGTCCATTTCCCGGTGCTGCAAGAAACTGAAGCCCGGGCTGGCTGTTTGCGTGGCGCTGCCTGCAGTAGCTGTCTAGCGCCAAGGTGCCAGCACTTTGGTCTGTCTGGGAGCTCTGATGGTGCGCTTCGCTATCCTGCCGGTTTTCTTGGCAGCAGCCTGTCTCTCTTGATAGGCATTTTTCCAAATACTCCTCCACCACCACCACTAAATCGGGGTGTTGCACCGATCTCTGCAAAATGCTACGGTAAGCGAGGTGCAGGAGAGGAAGCTAAACGTATTATGTAACTAGCCGGCACTTAGTTTTCTGCCTCATCATCTTTTCTTTTTTTAAATTGCACTTCAGCATGTGCAGCGTAGAAACGAACGCTCAAAGCTGGTAAGGAAACACTGTATGTAGAGTCCTTATGAAGGGATGTGGTCAAAAATTTTAATGAGAGCCGGAACTTCGCTAAAATGATGGCTCAGTTGGAAAGTCAACAGTCCCTTGTGGGGAAACCCTGTTTTTTTATTGCAGTGGTTTTTCTCTCCTTCCTTGGAAGTTTTCAAGCAGAGGTTGGATGGCCATCTGTCATGGATGCTTTGGTTGGGATTCCTGCATTGCAGGGGGTTGGACCAGAATGACCCTCGGGGTCCCTTGGCAACACTGCAATTCTATTATTCTGAGTTGGAGAGGCAGAGTCCCCTTCATTCAAGACCATTCCCATGCCATTCTGCTGCAAGGCGGTGGTCCGCAGAAGGGTGGCACACACACACACGCCGCTGCCTGAAGCGTGGCTCAAAAACAGACCCAGTTCGCTTCCCGAAGGAATTCCTAATTGAGGTGGTGAGTCAGGGTCACAGAAGGACCTTCCAGACATGCATCACTACTAAAGGGAAGGCTATCGCTCCAACGGGTGCTCTCTGCCTTCAGTGTCAGAGGCAGTATTGCTCCTGAATACCACTTTCTGGAAACCACAGAATGGGAGAGTGACCTCGTGCTTGAAGGTTTCCCACAGGCATCTGGGTGGTTGCTGTGACAACAGGATCTTGCACTAGATCAGGCTTCCTCAACCTCGGCCCTCCAGATGTTTTGAGACTACAATTCCCAGCATCCCTGACCACTGGTCCCACTGGCTAAGGATCATGGGAATTGTAGGCCAAAAACATCTGGAGGGCCGAGGTTGAGGAAGCCTGCACTAGATAATCGGCCTTCTGGTCTGGTGCCTGGTTTATACCTCGCCTGATCCATGATTTCAAAATATCCTATGCACCTGGGCGTGAACTTGAGATGTTGACTTTGAAGTAAGTGCATAGAAGATTGTTCAGTACAGTGGTACCTTGGGTTAAGAACTTAATTCGTTCCGGAGGTCCGTTCTTAACCTGAAACTTTTCTTAACCTGAGGTACTACTATAGCAAATGGGGCCTACCACTGCTGCCGCGCTGCTGCCATACAATTTCTGTTGTCATCCTGAAGCAAAGTTCTTAACCCGAGGTACTATTTCTGGGTGAGCGGAGTCTGTAACCTGAAGCATCTGTAACCTGAAGCATCTGTAACCTGAAGCATCTGTAACCCGAGGTACCACTGTATGGTGCTAATGGTTGTGTATTGTTGTACCGCATGTTGTCTTCATGGCGGTTTGCCCAAAGGAAGCTATTTGTCTAGGTGGCTCTTACTTCGGGCATCTGATGTACAGCTTCATTGCAGAGCAAGTAATTCACCTCTGGTATCTCACAGCCAAATTGCCCTAGAATCATAGAATTGCAGAGTTGGGAGGGACCCCAAGGGACCTTGAAATGCAGGAATCGCAGCTTAGGCATCCATGATGGCAGCAGAGCCCGTTTCTCCTAAATGCAGGTCTCTCCCAATTACCTATGAAACGAGGCCAGGGATCCTTTTATTTTATTATAAATAATATTTCTAAGGAGATCGAACAAAACCTTCTGGCGTCGTAAACGTGACGTATAAGATGACAAAGAGCAAAAGGGGAGGGGGACACAACACATAGACATAGTAGCTCAGTCAGTGGAGCATGAGACTCTGACTCTCAGGGTCATGCATTTAAGCCCACATTGTCAAAATTTGATGACCCTCGTGGTCCCTTCCAGTTCTTTGATACTGTGAGTCTGATTCTAATACATATGCAATTAGGAAAAGTTTTTTTAAAAAGCTTAAAATTTTGTAACATAGAAAAATAAGTGACCACACAATACCTTGATTTTTATTATTCTGGACACAGAGATCAAGATCTTTCTGTGTTTTCTCAAATTAGCTTACCTTAATAGTGCTGTTTGCTGTTAGTAATGCTTCTTGAGCCAAACTGAAGAGGAATAAATTTTGAGAGTGAAAGGAATGTGTAGGTCAGAAGTTCTGAGTCTTCCTAACTTACCCACGGCTTAGAGGCTCGCTCTCTGTTTGATGAGGCACTTTTTCCCCACTGGAGTTCACTTCAAAGGTTGGAGCCTAACCGAGAAGAAAATGATTACTGGGAAATAGGCTGTGGAGAGAGGTAAGCCTCAAATGGATGAGGGATTTTTGAGGGGAAATTTACTGAGACCTTTCATGAATGCCACAGGAGTTCTGTGTGGGCGCCAAGTTGGGAACCCCTGAGTTAAGCAGTTACCTCTTTCCCCCTGACCTCAATAACTGGTACACTCTTTACTGAACACACTTTTCCTCAAGTTTATATAATATATAGGTTATTAAATCTCAGGAGAATTGCCTCATCTGCAAAATAACAATAATTATAATGCAGCAGTTTGATGTTTTTCTTTTTCTGTTTATTTCATATTTTAGTGTGTCCTGTGTATTTATTGACCAGATTTCCAGAGTTTTGAAACCTTTCCATTTTCGGTGCTCATAACTTTGCTTCTTTCTCCCTTTCTGCCGCCCCAAGTTCCTAATATTTTTACAAAACAGCTGAGCCTCTCTGGGGCAATAACAGATGGAACAGCTGTTTCCTACTCCTGTTTGAAGTGGATCTCTCTAAAACATCTTCCAGCTCGGCGCCATCTCTTAAAATGCCTTTAGTTAAAAAAATAGATCCTTGACTTCCTTAGCCTAGTAACCTAGCTGAACCAAGCAGGCTGGCGTTTTAACTCACTGCGCCAATGATTCCACCAAGGTCCTGCACAGTATTTGGGTAAATCTATTCTTCAGACTGGGACGTGGGTGGCACTGTGGGTTAAACCACAGAGCCTAGGACTTGCCGATCAGAAGGTCGGCGGTTCAAATCCCCGCGACGGGGTGAGCTCCCGTTGTTCGGTCCTTGCTCCTTCCAACCTAGCAGTTCGAAAGCACGTCAAAGTGCAAATAGATAAATAGGTACTGCTCCGGCGGGAAGGTAAACGGCGTTTCCGTGTGCTGCTCTGGTTCGCCAGAAGCGGCTTAATCATTCTGGCCACATGATCCGGAAGCTGTATGCCAGCTCCCTCTGCCAGTAGAGCGAGATGAGCACCGCAACCCCAGAGTCGGCCATGACTGGACCTAATGGTCAGGGGTCCCTTTACCTTTACCTTTATTCTTCAGACTTAAGCCAGTTTAAGAGTTGTTCTTTCTCCTAAAGATTCCTGGGAACTGTCATTGCAGGGTGTGGTGTAGTTCTGGCCTGCCCTCAGCCTTTCTCTCCAAAAACCTACAGTTTAGTCAGCTTCTGTTTCCCAAGGATGGACAGACGATGGACAGACCATGTAGTCCAATGCACCAGCTTAGCATCTTTCAGGGAAGCCTTGCAAATCTGGCACTAGTTATCACCATGACAGCCCATCTCCTCTACAACTTTCCAAAAATGACCCTTTCCTGAAGTACATCTCAATCACTAGCATGCTCTAGTTATCTCCCGCTTGGACTACTGCAATGAGCTCTACGTGGGGCTACCTTTGAAAGTGACCCGGAAACTGCAGCTAATCCAGAATGTGGCAGCTAGACTGGTGACTGGGAGCGGCTGCCGGGACCATATAACAACGGTCCTGAAAGACCTACATTGGCTCCCAGTACGTTTCCGAGCACAATTCAAAGTGTTGATGCTGACCTTTAAAGCCCTAAACGGCGTCGGTCCAGTATACCTGAGGGAGCGTCTCTACCCCCATCGTTCAGCCCAGACATGGAGGTCCAGCTCTGAGGGCCTTCTGGCAGTTTCCTCCCTGTGAGAAGTGAGGTTACAGGGGAACCAGGCAGAGGGCCTTCACGGTAATGGCGCCTGCCCTGTGGAACGCCCTCCCATCAGATGTCAAGGAAATAAATGACTATCCAACTTTTAGAAGACATCTGAAGGCAGCCCTGTTTAGGGAAGTTTTTAATGTTTGATGTTTTATTCTGTTTTTAATCTGTTGGGAGCCACCCAGAGTAGCTGGGGAAACCCAGCCAGATGGGCAGGGTAGAAATTATTATTATTATTAATAATAATTATTATATTACTGGAAGCTGCCTGGGCAAAAGGGGCACACACCCTCATCTTGCAACTGACACCAGAAGCTTCTCATTTTCAGACGAGACCATTAAGAGTAAATTTTCCTATGCTAACTTTTGCCCAGTGTAGGGTCAGATGTGTCAGGAGCTCATCCTACACTCGAATAATAACAACAATGCAAGAACATTGGACAGATGGGTGAGGTGTAAATAATAAAATTATTATTATTATTATTACAGGGGTACCTCGGGTTACAGATGCTTCAGGTTACAGATGCTTCAGGTTACAGACTCAGCTAACCCAGAAATAGTACCTCGGGTTAAGAACTTTGCTTCAGGATGAGAACAGAAATCGCGTGGCGGCAGCGGGAGGCCCCATTAGCTAAAGTGGTACCTCAGGTTAAGAACAGTTTCAGGTTAAGAACGGACCTCCAGAATGAATTAAGTTCTTAACATGAGGTAACACTGGATTATTATTATGCAAGAACGTAGGGCAGATTCATTCCTACTGAGCTATAACTGAGCTATAACACTGCAGGTAAACTTCTCATTGTGGGAAGCCATCCACTTAAATAAATCAAGATTGTGAGACGCAACCTTGCCTGGCTGGTCCTTGTTTCTGGAAGTGTTCTGGTCTCATCCAGCCCAGTCGCACTTCTACTTTAGGGTGCTTCTCTCCCCCCCCCGTTTGTTTTCTAATTCCTCCCCAAGTTGTCAGTTTGCTTCAAATATGCGCTATTCTCCCTTGGTTACGATGGATCGCTCGCTAATTTACCACCAAGGTCGTGTCTCCTTTTCAAGTGAGGGATTGCCATGGTGACACCTAGACAGATATGAATGCTGTTTCCTTGCCTGACGAGATCCGAGTCAACCGGCTAATGGAGCCCCGCTGAAGCCTTGCGTGGGGGAGAATGGCATGCACAGCTCTGTGCCATTCACAAAGAGCTACCTTGCTGCGACAGTTCATTGATCAGAGATAGCCCTTATCGCAAGGTTCAAGTTGGAAGCCTTGCTTTTGTCCAATATTTAACAAAGCACATTTATTTAAAGACCAATGTTTCGTTTCAACGGGAAGCATTTGGAACTGTCGGGTTAAGTGGCTCATTTAAATATTGCCCATGCATCTCTGTCGTGTCAATTTCTTTTTTTTAAAAAAATGGGGCAATTTTTCACTACAAGGTCTGACAGGCAACGGGTTACAATGACAACAGTTGTTCCACGACATCCTTTTTGAAACTTCTTTCTCAAATATTATTATTATTATTATTATTATTATTATTATTATTATTATCATCATTATTATTTATTTCAGAGCAAACTCAGGGAAATATTTAATGGGGGGAAACCAATGTATCTTTTGTTGGGAATAAATTAAAGCAAACTTCTGGAAGAACAAATCAGATGATGAGGTATAATGATGATGATGTGAACAGGCTTTACAGTGGTACCTCAGGTTAAGTACTTAATTTGTTCCGGAGGTCCGTACTTAACCTGAAACTGTTCTTAACCTGAAGCACCACTTTAGCTAATGGGGCCTGTTGCTGCCTCCGCGCCGCCGGAGCACGATTTCTGTTCTCATCCTGAAGCAAAGTTCTTAACCTGAGGTACTATTTCTGGGTTAGCGGAGTCTGTAACCTGAAGCGTATGTAACCTGAAGTGTATGTAACCCGAGGTACCACTGTATTTTATATTTCTTTCACAACTACTTTAGATCGTGGGTCCAGATCCAAGAGTTAATGTTCTGATACCTCAGGAGGTTAGCGGTGGGGAGCAAAAAAAGGCAATGCACAGGAAATTTATCCCTCCTTGATATTGCAGATGGTGAACTGCTAGCCTGCAGGCCGGATGTAGCTCATTGCATCTTTGGGTCAGGCTTCTAACTCCACAGCTGCACCCAGCCACTGCACATGGTTGCTGCATGAGGCAAGTTTTACGAGGCTGACAGCACATGGAGGGGAGAGTGAACACTGAACAAGAACTGCAGGAAGCAGGACCCAGACTCAGCGGTTGTTCTGAAGGGCTAGCTCAACATTCCTCAAATCTGCCTGTGGAGGAAGGCAAGAATCAGTTGACCCCTGATTATTTTGCTGAATCAGGAGCTGGGCACCTTTGCCCTCCAGCGGTTGCTGAACTGCGGCAGCTATCAGCCCTCAAAAGCGTGGCCAGTGGCTAGGGATGATGGGAGTTGTGGTCCAGCAACCTCTGGAGGACCAAAGGTCCCTCACTCCTGGGTGGAATCAACCCACCTGAGCAAACCCAAACCTGCAGGAGAATGCACTGACCATCACCCCCTTGCAGTGTTGGAAGGGTTACATAGGAGTTGCATTTGTGTGTGTTAACTTCTTAATCGTACCAGAGCAATATTCGGGGGGGGGGGCAGGGGCAAGGGATTTGGAGCAAACATGTACTTTAAGGCAGCCTAGGACCCTACAAGAAAACTTGCTCGTGCCTAGGAGAGAAGGGGAGCTGCTTGTTTACTGCTTGTGGAGAGAACATTGTGCAGAAAAAGAACATCTTGTTATTGCTGAGCTGATGGTTCTGGAGAAGGGAACACTGCTGTTCCAAGGCACTTTTTCCTGCTTTTGTTACTTCCGATTTCTGATGTTCCGAATTGCATTACTGAATGGACTGCATTACTTGAGCGGCCGCAATACAGTTATGTGTATAAGTGTTTCAGTTGGTTTGTATTTATTGACAGGTAGGTCGCCGTGTTGGTCTGTCGTAGTCGAAACAAAATGAAAAAAATCCTTCCAGTAGCACCTTAGAGACCAACTAAGTTTCTTATTGCTATGAGCTTTTGTGTGCATGCACACTTCTTCAGATACCTGATGCATGCACACGAAAGCTCATACCAATAACAAATTTAGTTGGTCTCTAAGGTGCTACTATGGGACGCGGGTGGTGCTGTGGGTTAAACCACAGAGCCTAGGACTTGCTGATCAGAAGGTTGGCGGTTTGAAGCCCCGCGACAGGGTGAGCTCCCGTTGCTCGGTCCCTGCTCCTGCCAACCTAGCAGTTCAAAAGCATGTCAAAGTGCAAGTAGATAAATAGGTACCGCTCCTGCGGGAAGGTAAACGGCGTTTCCGTGTGCTGCTCTGGTTCGCCAGAAGCTGGCCACATGACCCGGAAGCTGTACACCGGCTCCCTTGGCCAATAAAGCGAGATGAGCGCTGCAACCCCAGAGTAGGCCACAACAACCTAATGGTCAGGGGTCTTTAAGGTGCTACTGGAAGGAATTTTTTTATTTTGTATTTATTTGTTACACCTAGGGCAGCCATATGTGCGTGTTTAATTCATGTGCCTGCTTTGTTCACATACAGAGAAAGGGAGAAGGAAATCCATTCTCTACAATAGGAGTGAGGAACTTGTGGCTCTCCATAAGTTGTTGGACTCCCATTAGATCCAGCCAGAATGGCCAAGGGTCGGGAATAAAGGAAGTTGTACTCCAACAAAGATCTGGCTGGTCACAGGCCACCAGCCCCTGCTCTACATGAAAGAGAGCAAAACATGCTCCTTTCTTCATCTTAGGTTGCTCCATGCTGCTATTTTAAGCATATATTTTTCGCAGGCTGATTCCTGTATCAGAGATAGTCCTGTCCCAGCAAGGGGATTGGCTTTTGAATACAGAGCAGGATCAGCAGTTAGAGCAGCATTTAGGCCTCTGGTACAGAATGTGTTCGCTGTAGCCGTCAGCAGCCATGAAACCTGATCCCGCAGTAATGAAACTAATATAATTGGCACACTGTGGAGGTAATCACAAGGTGCCAATATTTTTCAGACAATGCTGAACCATGTTACAACTCGGAAGCTTGCTTTTGCTTAATGTTTGTCCATGCAATTTTGATTTGAATATTTCAATAAGATCATTTAGAAATACTATAAACAAAAAGGTTTTAAGGTTCGTGCCGGAAGGAAGCTATTAAATGGCCAGGCAACCAGTTTCCAAGGTTTTCCCAGTCACTGAATAAGTGGCTTACCAAAGTAATAGATCTAAATGTAAGTAGAAGCTAGCTGTTGTAAACCAAGAAGTGGCACTTTGTTGTATGATACAGTGTTCCTTGGGTTACATACGCTTCAGGTTACATACACTTCAGGCTACAGACTCCGTTAACCCAGAAACAGTACCTCGGGTTAAGAACTTTGCTTCAGGATGAGAACAGAAATCGTGCTCCGGCGGCACGGTGGCAGCGGGAGGCCCCATTAGCTAAAGTGGTGCTTCAGGTTAAGAACAGTTTCAGGTTAAGAACGGACCTCCGGAACGAATTAAGTACTTAACCCGAGGTACCACTGTACTGAGTATTCAGTACCTTGCGCATACTTTTTCAATGGAAAGGAAACCATCAATGTAGACATATTACTAAAAAACCAATAGATGAGTTACCACCATATTTCTTTTCTCTGATTTTCCAGAGCCACGTCTCTCTGAAGATACGCACTTGATAATGGCCACGCTTCTATTTGGGTGTTGCAGAAGCCCGTGCTTCTTTAAAATTGCTGCAATCTGCTTTGTCAACGCTTGCTGAAGAAACATTTTTTCAGACTGACTTAGCCACAGACTAACACCTGCTTTGAGTTTGTATGGCCGATAAGATGGGAAAATGGCAGCCACCACTGAGTTAGCAGGAAGAGAGTTTGGCATCTCGGATGCCGGTGTTTTGCACTATGATGGCATGCAACCAGACTCCTGCAGACTTCTTTGTCGCTCTGAATGTAAGCACCTGGCTCAGAGACCCCAGTTACACAGTGCTGCCAACCCCGCTCAGGATACTGCTGGCCATTATCATGCTATTCATGATTGCTGTTGGATTTTTGGGCAATGCCGTCGTCTGCTTGATTGTCTACCAGAAACCAGCCATGCGTTCGGCGATCAACCTGCTTTTAGCTACCTTGGCTTTCTCGGATATCATGCTGTCGTTGTTCTGCATGCCTTTCACCGCCATCACTATTCTGACGGTGAGCTGGAACTTTGGGGCTCGCTTCTGCCGAATATCTGCCATGCTGTACTGGTTCTTCGTCTTGGAAGGGGTCTCGATACTCTTGATCATTAGCGTCGACCGATTCCTCATCATCGTCCAGCGCCAAGACAAACTCAACCCCCAGCGCGCCAAGGTCATGATTGTGGTTTCTTGGGCCTTTTCCTTCTGCATCTCTTTCCCTTCAGTGGTTGGGTGGATGTTCGTAGAAGTCCCAAGCCGCGCTCCCCAGTGTGTCCTGGGCTACACAGAATGTCCTGCAGACCGAGCCTACGCCGTGATGCTTCTTGTGACTGCGTTCTTCGTCCCGTTCAGCATCATGCTGTACTCTTACCTCTGCATCCTGAACACTGTCCGCCGCAACACCGTCAGAATCCACAACCACGCCGAGAGCGTCTGCTTGAGTCAGGTGAGCAAACTAGGCCTCACCGGGCTGCAGAAGCCTCACCAGATGAACGTCGACATGAGCTTCAAGACCAGGGCCTTCACGACTATCCTCATCCTTTTCGTCGGCTTCTCTCTGTGCTGGCTTCCGCACACGGTGTTTAGCCTGATGTCTGTGTTTAGCAGAAATTTCTACTACAGCCCATCTTTCTACATCACCAGTACCTGTGTGTTGTGGCTGAGTTACCTCAAATCCGTGTTCAACCCTGTCGTCTATTGTTGGAGGATCAAGAAGTTCCGCGAGGCCTGTCTGGAGTTCATGCCAAAAACATTCAAGATCTTCCCCAAAGTGCCTGGACGAACGAAAAGGAGAATAAGGCCAAGCACAATATATGTCTGTAGCGAGCACCAATCCGCAGTTTAGGAACCGTAAAAAAATAAATATTGAGCAGCTTGTATCTTCCATCACTGCCCTCACAGCACCATGCTGTTTTCTGTAATGTGTTGATTGTAACCCAGAAAACTTGTAATGTGTTGATTGTAACCCAGAGTTTTGTTCTTGTTATCCATTAAATTGAAGCACTTCCCACACCAGTCTCATTGTCAGGTTAAACAAGTGTTGTGGTCTTACCAAATGCACTGCCAAATAAAATATACTGCCTGTATTTTCTTCTGCTTAGGAAAAAGCATCACCAACAGCCAAGCGCACACAGTGAAATAATTGGTATCGGATTTTAGCTCCATGACTCCCCATTATATTATTTAGGTTTGTCCTGCGAAGAGCAACACGCGGCAACAAATTGGCAGTGTGAAGCCCGACAAAACACAATGAGGCAGAAATCTTCCCTTGTGTTTTATCTATCATTTTGCACAATCTAGCAAAAGTGGGTTGTGATTTAAAACATTTAATTTCATGGAAGAGCCCAGGTTATGTATGTGCTGTTAAATGCAAGATCGCATTTTGTTCTTTCTAGGTTTATTCTCTTAAAAATAACAGAGAGAGAGAGAGAGAGAGAGAGAGAGAGAGAGAGAGAGAGAGAGAGATCAGTTTTGGGACCACGGAGGCTGCAGGAGATGAGCCCAACCCCCTGGCTGCTAGACTGATGAAGGACCACCACCCACCATCAGTTTCGTGAACAAAGTTTCCAATGACCACTGGAGAGAGGACCTCTCAGGAATGGCACCCCAGTTGTGGAATACCCTTACCTGAGAGGCTCATCTGGTGCCTTTAGGTGCCAGGAGGATGTTTCATTCCCCTCCACCCTTTGTGATTTTAACATCTCAGCTATAATCCACTGTTTTATGTCATGTATCTTGTTTACGGTGTGAAAACTAGTTCTCCAATATATAATTTCTGGCTGCGATTGTTTCTGTATTTATTTATTAATGTTTTAAATGGTCTTTTTATAGTTTCCTGCTTGTTTGCTGGTCGTAGGAGGTTATTAGGCAGCCATGATAAATAATGCCGCACCTAGTCTGACCCTTAAGTCTACAACTCCCATCATCCCTAGCTAGCAGGACCAGTGGTCAGCGATGGTGGGAATTATAGTCCAAAAGCAGTTGGAGACCCAAGTTTGGGAAACCCTGCTTTAAACAATTGGTTCTATTCAGTCCCTAGCTAAGCACAAGAGTTGACCGAGCCTTCTGGGAGGAGAAACCTCTTGAAACATTCATGGTGCACCAATGCAACTCTGCAGCCACTCTGCCCATTTTCGTTCCAAGGACTTTTGCTTCAGGTGCAAAGTACAAAAGCCTTTATCAGGTGTGGGGGACCTATGACCCTCCTGATACTGCTGAACTGCTCCCCCTGCCCACCATCAGTCCCAGAGAGCAGGGGACAAAGGGAGTTGTTCGGCTGCATCACACCTGCATTATAAGGTGCAGAAAAGCACCCAAAGCTTGCTTTGGGGTTTCTGGAGGAATAGCACAGCCTCCCCAAAATAAATGTAAAGGTTTCACTCAAAGAGGCAGCACTGCTTTTCCAATCTTTTAAACTGAATAAAGTGGTACCTCGGGTTACATACGCTTCAGGTTACAGACTCCGCTAACCCAGAAATAGTACCTCAGGTTAAGAACTTTGCTTCAGGTTGAGAACAGAAATCGTGCTCCGGTGGCGCAGCAGTAGCAGGAGGCCCCATTAGCTAAAGTGGTGCTTCAGGTTAAGAACAGTTTCAGGTTAAGAATGGACCTCTGGAACGAATTAAGTATTTAACCCGAGGTACCACTGTGTTAGGAGTGACACAGAGCAACACAGATGGGTGTGTATGTTTGTATGTACAAATAATGTAGTAAAACAGCACATTACCTACACACAGTGGTGTCTTTTAAAAAAAAAAAAAAGTTTGGCACGCTATACTTCCGTATCCACAGAGCATTTATTAAGTGTTATCAAGCTTACTGCGCACCATCGCGATGCAACCACGGACGTTGCAGTGACTGCATCCCTTAATCCCTTTGAAGGAACCCACTCTTGCAAAGGAGCTCAGAACCGCAGATTGTTTCTTCACATAACCTCAGGTGTAGACTCTTCAAAAGCTATACCTGGAATTACCGGTTGCATGTGTTTGCTCTAGGGGAATGCCGATATAAAAACCATTTCATTCCACTGTATTTACAGAACATCTGTATGATAATAAATAAGTCGTTACAGTTATTAAAGACTCTTCCTTCCCACCCACCTACCCACACCCACCTCCGGTCGATGGTTTATGAATCCAGGTGGTTCGCTGCAATAAGTAGTGTCAGAAACAGTGGCTTTTTCACAGCATGGTGATCCTGTCATCATGCCTCCTCTCATTCCCTCCCCATTTGAGCAGGAGCTCCCATGGGGTCCTAGCGCTTCCAATAGGTTTTGTAACAAATGGACTTGCATGGCAGAGAATAAAGGACAAAGGCTCAAAAGTGCAACAAATCGTTTTTGTTTTTTTACAAAAAAACAGTATCAAGAGCACAGAACAAGTTCATGACGCTGTCCCGGCAGGCAAAATTTAGACCCGGCAGAGAACATAATGCAGGCTATGCTCTACTCTCAAGAGAAAAGTGCTCCTTCATGCCACTTATTCAAGAGACAGAATCAGTTTTCTGGGGAAGAGATGTTTTTGCTCATCAGCCCCTCCCTAGACCACTTGATCACCGGATTCAGTGCACGTTTTAATATAGGTATATGTATTTTTAAAAAGCTTTTCCGTTCCCCACCCCCTCCCCAGCACCCTTACCGTGAGGAAAGTATTTGTTTGTTATATAAACACCTGCAATTTCTTGTGCTGCCTACATTCATAAGAGATCAGCAGTTTAAGAGGCCGTGTTTGACCAAAAGTTCTCCTCCATCAACCCCAGGGCAAACTCCTCTCTCCTCGACATATTTTTGTTCTTTCGCCCAACAGAATCTCCTTCAGTTACTCCAAGGAGTTAACCAACGCAGCGTCTGGCACTACCTTGGGCATATTTCATGTCCGTCCGCTGGGGCTGGAGAGATGGTGGTTTGTGCTGGAATTCACGTGTCGGTTCGCAGCGCAGTGTGTGTGGACCATGCTGCCGTTTGGGTACCTGACGAACGCAGGCTCACTGAAAGGGCTTTGACACATCTGGCAGACCTTTCTGTCCGAGAGAACCGTCGCGATCCCTTTTAGCTTCACCTGCAAAGCGGGAGAAACAAGCCAAAGAGCCGCTGAAAACGTGAACTGATGAGGGTGCTAAGAGGCTGCCGTTTTGTCACAGGGACTATTGCTACTCTGAATGGTATTCAGTGCTAGAGTGGACCCATTGAAGTGAATGGACAGGAGTCATTTAGGTTCATTCATTTCAAAGGGTGCTACTCGTGAGTTGGACTTAGCCGAGTGAGACCCTCTGCGTACTTCACTGGTGGCATATGCCGTCTACTAGAATTGGTGCAATGATCATTCCATTAGTTTTTGGTAAACTAATCAAGCTACAATTCCAAAGTTTCTTTCTGGAAGCCAGTAAGGGGTATTAAAAAGCTCTTTAGGGGTGCAGCCATGTAGTTCATCTGTACATGAATGCAAAATTCCATATGTAGCATGTAGACGTGTGCTTTAATATGCTTTTGGTTTGTCGCCAATTTAAATTTTTTAAGAACATTTAAATAGTCGTTTTAATGATAATTCTATTGCTCTGTTTGTTTTTAAAACTGCTTTGAGGTTTGCTTGCTTTTACAGTCAAGCAGTGTATCAACTTTATGAGACAAATAAGGTCTATGGAAGGCGGTGGTAGGGCTTATAGTTCACTATTTTATATATTATATTCTGGTAAAGATGCAAATACTCCCCTCTTCCCAACTCTGCTTCCTTCTCCTAGGGCAGCTTTGGGAGAAGATCCATCGCACCGGTTCTGTGTGTATGTACAGCAGAGGTAGCCAATCTCATGCCTTCTTGATGCTGCTGAACTTGAAATTCCCATCAGCTCCAACCAGCCTGGCCAAGAGGCAAGGATGATGAGAGCTGCAGTTCAACAACATCTGGAGGACCGCAGGTTCCCCACTCCAATGTCGAGGGCTCCTTGCACCATGTCTATGAAGGCTTGCCTCTTTCCCGTGGCTTCTGACACAGCTGAAAGCCTGCCTTAGGAAGCTGCCTCCCCGTGCCCTTGCACTAAAATGGTTTTGCCACGTTGATAACAACAGCAAAATTGGCATACAGTGGACCCTCTAGTTATGTACCACTCTGGATACGTAACTTTCAGGTTACGAATGTGGCAAAACCATTTTAGTGCAAGGGCACGGGGAGGCAGCTCCCTAAGGGAGCCAATTTGATTCCCTCCCCCTCTTTCTTTTCCCTTTCTCCTCCTGTGATGAGGCTGCATTTTAATATTTTAATGTTTCAATATTTTAATGTTGTATTTTAATCTTGTTTTTAAGTTGTATTCATTCAACTTGTTTTTATTATTGCTTGTTAGCTGCCCTGAGCCCGGCCTTGGCTGGGGAGGGCAGGGTATAAATAAAAATTATTATTATTTAAATGTGGCAAATACTTCCAGGTTTTGCCACGCGTGCATGTGCTGAAGCGCTCTGCGCACCTCGTGCATGCACAGAAGTGGAGCCTCTGCCTACAGACTTTTAGGGTTGCGGACAGACCCCCAGAATGAATTTAATTCGTAACTGGAGGGTCCACTGTACTCACCTTCTCGTGCGTGTAAGTGAGGTTCTCCGCTTTTGCTAAGCCCAGTGCGATCTGCGTCATTCTTTGTGCATGGATGCTTTCCCGCATGGAGCCGCAGAGAAACGAGGAGAGGAGCTGCACCGACCAGGTGTCCGGTATGAGCTGCAAAACGCAGGCGGCGTCAAACTCGGCCGCGTGGTTGTTTAGGAGGTCTACAGCCGCCATGGCCAGCTGGTGCTCCGATGTGCTGGAATTTAGATACTCCGAAAGGAGCATGTGGAAAAGCTTCTTCCTGTAAGGAAGGTCTTTGCTCTCCGAATTCCACACGCAGTACTCCTCCGCTGCAGCAAAGTCCTTCAGTTCGTGGACCAGGATATGCAAAGCTTTGTCGTGCTGTTCCAGTTTCCCAAAGAGTATCGCACACTCCATGTGAAGATCTGTGCCGCTGATTTTATCTGCCGGATGTAACGTTTTAAGCAGAGGCCTTGTTAGAGTGCAAGAGAAAGCTATATTCCTCAGATAAGCTAGCTGCCTTCAAAGAACAACGGAAAACGAAGAGCAAGCAGAATGATAAAACCAAGAACAAAAATTCCCTCCCAACGCTCGGCAGGGCAGTTACATGTAGAATTCTGGGTTCATCGTTATGTTTCTGAATACAGTGGTACCTCGGGTTAAGTACTTAATTCGTTCCGGAGGTCCGTTCTTAACCTAAAACTGTTCTTAACCTGAAGCACCACTTTAGCTTTAGCTGCTGCCACTGCGCCGCCAGAGCACGATTTCTGTTCTCATCCTGAAGCAAAGTTCTTAACCTGAGGTAATATTTCTGCGTTAGCAGAGTCTGTAACCTGAAGCATATGTAAGAAGAAGAAGAGGAGGAGTTTGGATTTGATATCCCGCTTTATCACTACCCTAAGGACTCTCAAAGCGGCTCCTTTCCCTTCCTCCCCCACAACAAACACTCTGTGAGGTGAGTGGGGCTGAGAGACTTCAAAGAAGTATGACTGGCCCAAGGTCACCCAGCAGCTGCATGTGGAGGAGCGGAGACGCGAACCCGGTTACCCAGATTACGTGACTACCGCTCTTAACCACTACACCACACTAACCTGAAGCATATGTAGCCTGAGGTACCACTGTACAATGAGCAGGGTGGAAATAAGACTCATTCGCGAACAGAAGACATTCCCTTTCCGACGCAGGGCTGCCATCCCACCTAACGCAGCTGTTTTACTCATCACTCTGCAGGATTCCCCCAGTTCTCAGAAACAGCTTTTGGGGAGCTACGAGGAAATGCAGCAGAAAGCAGAGCCCCGGGGAAGACCCTGGTGCAAGCCTGCTACTGGGATCCCTGCTGATATTTACCTTATTTTTGGCAGTGCGGTTGCATTTAACGCAGCATTCAACACACAGTTTAAAAGACCTATGTTCGTATGCCCCTAAAGCCACTTCTTAGAATTCACACGTTGCTGGCTGGGTTCATTCGTTGCCATACTGGAGCGGGGCACAGACCCACACGCATGCCAAAATGACCTAATACGGGCTATGTCCAGTTGCCCAGGACCCCTCACTTCAGAAAGTTATAGTGGAAGGATTGTGGCAATCAGGCACGTTATGCCAATGCCTGCATCAAATTCTGGAATGCACTGAATTGCAGGGAGCTGTTCCTTGGATCCCCCAGCAAGTTGAACTAGGCCCAAGTTATCCTGACACTGTAATGATGCAACAGGAACCGGCATCAACACAAAGCATTTAACGTTATCCCTCAGACAACTTGAGTTCAAATCACCCTTGGGCAATTCAAATGTTCTTTTCCTTTTCTCTGCCTGTGTAGCTGGTTAAAAAACAGCAACAACACACCCTTCATCAAAAGCATATGAAATATAATTTCAGTTCTCTTACCTAAAATAAAACGAATTCTATAAAGGTCAGATTTCTGCAGAAGACTGCGTAGCTTCGCCTGCGATGTGCTCAATTCCTCACTCTTCTCTGCGGCCAGTGATTTCAGACGCAGGACTTCCTCCAGGTAAAGGACTGCCAGGTGGGTGTGGAATTTTTCCTTCTGCCAGTATAATAGACAATATTATAATTCCAAGACTATCTCCATAAGCAGCTTTATTAATACTCCATTAATACTCCATTATTAATACTCCATTAATACTTTATTAATACTGTTTTCAAAAACAACAAAATGGTTAAAAAGAAAAGAAAACCATTTCAAAAGGACTGGGCACCTGTGCTCTGACAAATTCAGAAGTTTGAAATTCCACGTGCGTTGCAAGAGCAAAGGAATTCCAGAGCAGCACTTAAATAGAAAGAATTCATTTGCCTTTCAAAATATGATCACCATTAGCAATAACTCAAGGAGCACGAATCCTATTATCTATTAATTCACATGCCACTTTTACCTTATCACAATTTTGTCACTCTTTCCTCCCATTTGCATCTCACCCATTCGAATTCAGGGGGCTTACCTAAGCCCAGAGTCCTCCTCGCTTTCGGTAAAACAATTATTATATAAAATCGTGCTTCTAAAGCATTTGAAGTTATGCAAAAATTTCTAATCTTGGAATTACTTCTTCCTAACCACCTACTGACTGGCTTTTAAAAAAGAGGGGGGGGAAAGGGGGGGGATCATCTTTTTAACAGCCTAATTCCACATTCTAGAGATCCTACACTCCTAGAGCAAGGAGATAAAGAAGCTTTTGCCCCGTTACTGCAGGAGCAGTTGGGAGACACCAGTCATGCTGGAACACCCAATACCCCAGAGAAAACACTTCATCAGACAGGGGAGATTTGGGCAGGGGTGGAGGACCCTTGCAGCCCAAGGGCCACATTTACTTGTGGGGAACCTTCCAGGGGCCGCATGGCAGCGATTGGTGGGGGCAGGCAAAATGAATGAAGCATTTTTATTTTTTTTACAGGAGGATACATTCCAGCCATGCAAAGAGTCAGGCACCCACCCACCCACCCTCCATCAGACAAGCAAGAGGCATCACCACAATTTAAGGACAGAATCAAACCAATTAAAAGTACTTGAAGAAGGCAAGGACCAATGAGGGATGCGGCCTGGGGGTGGGAAGAGTCTTGAAGGTCAGACAGAGGTCAGGAGGGGCACGTGTGGTCCCTGGGCCTGAGGTTACCTGTCCTTGATGTGAAGCGGTGTTTCCCAAACTTGGGTCTTGAACTACACTCCCATCATCCCTAGCTAGCAGGACTAGTGGTCAGGGATGATGGGAATTGTAATAATAATAATATTTTTTTAAAAAAAAACTTCCCTAAACAGGGCTGCCTTCAGATGTCTTTTAAAAGTAAGATAGTTGCTTATTGCCTTGACATCTGATGGGAGGGCGTTCCACAGGGTGGGCACCACTACCGAGAAGGCCCTCTTCCTGGTTCCCTGTAGCCTCACTTCTTGTGTCCCCCATAAGGGAATAAGGGCAGATTTTGTTTATTACACAGGTCATCCCATCAGGGCTCGGTCCCTTATCTGCAACCTTCCAGCAAAATGCCAGCAAAACACTTTTAAAAGTAAGATAGTTGCTTATTGCCTTGACATCTGATGGGAGGGCGTTCCACAGGGCGGTTGCCACTACCAAAAAGGCCCTCTGCCTGGTTCCCTGTAACTTCAATTCTCACAGTGAGGGAACCGCCAGAAGGCCCTCGGAGCTGGACCTCTCAGTGTAGAACAGGCATAGGCAAACCCAGTCCTCCAGATGTTTTGGGACTACAACTCCCACCATCCCTGACCACTGGTCCTGTTAGCTAGGGATCATGGGAGCTGTAGTCCCAAAATATCTGGAGGGCTGACTTTGCCTACGCCTGGTGTAAAGGGACATTGTACCTTTGCCTTAGAAGCTGCCCAAGAGCACCTTTCTGGGATTGGGGGGGGACACACACACACATTTAGGGCTGCTCAAAAGCAGCCAGAGAAGGGAGCAGGATTCTATAGGAGGCATTTCCTCCTCTGCTTACGCTGCAACAGTAAACAGAACTGGGCTTCCAAGAGCAACTAATGTAAAGGGCAATTCTTGTTTTTCCGTTGCTCCCATAGATAAGCAAAAGGGTCACCTTATGTGTGTACTTTGTGCCATAATTACATCCTGGTGTTAAATTATCCAGCTTGGTAATGGGCCTACTTAGAGCCTCAATAAGCAAGCAGAATGCAATAGGAGAAGTAGTTTAAAGCTGCAAGTTACCATGGTTGCCCTGCAGCAATCTAGAGAACTAAAAGAACAACCTGGATTTATTTTTGAGATTCAGGCATAAACTGAACATCGCAACAGACGCACACCAGTTTTTATGCTACCGGATCCAACTATCGCCACTTACTTTCACTCTTCTTTCTAGAACCAAGAACTCTAGATATTTTACTAGTGATACGGGATATTTGTTAAGGCAGCTGATGACGTCGTCTGGATTAAAGCTGTTCTTCTGTTCTTCTTCCAAGGGTCTTCTAGTGAAGATGTACACACCAACCTAAAGCAAGATGCATTAAAAAAATATTAAGATTCGCAAAGTTTACATAAATGGCTGACGCCACACACAAGTCTCTGGTGCCAGGTTATCAATTCCTGTTGCCTCATACTTGTTAAAAGAGACTGAAAATATCTGACCTTTTCTAGTGCTAATAAAATCGATGAAAACATGACACAAGTTGGCAGGGTGCAACAACGGATGTTTGAGGGAGGGAATGCACAATATTCACTTTATACAGGATTAATGGGGGGGCACACAGCTGTGCTGCTGCCTCTCTCTTTAAAATATTTTTTCAATTTGAAATTATATCATGAGTCGGCCCGTCTCACCTGGATCCGGGAGTGGATGACATTAAGAAATACAGATTTGTTAGACCTGGAAGGTTTCGACAACCAATATGGATGGCACACCTACCTAGGGGTTGGACTAGATGACTCTTGGGGTCCCTGCCGATGCTACGAGTCTATGATACTCAAATATCCCAAGCAACAGCAATTTCAAAAACCTCACCCCACAAATACCCAGCCACAAACCTCTTCGCTTCGCTGCAGGACCCACTCTGCATACTTCCACACCAATTCATGGTCTGCGCAGGACGTAAGGAAGTCGACGATATACTCGTAAAGATCTGTGCGTGTTGAGTCCTGGATGTCACCGTTAACGATTTTCACCCATAACTGAAGCCGAAAAGAAGCACGAAACAATCAGGTTCAGGCTCAATCCCATGGCAATAAAGCCAGCTGTTATTTTTCTCCGGGCTGGTAGTTAATAGAAATTTAGCCAAACCAACAGACTTAGCACACCGATGCCAAAGACTTGTGTAACAGCACCAACAGGAGCTGAGCACAGGTGCAAAGTGCAGGTCTTTCCCCTTGCCTCTGCGCTGGACTCCTAGAGCAAAAGTAAACATTCGACACAGGGCTGCCACCAAAAAGGGGACCCCGTGTCAAAATCCTTCCCTGCCCATCATCCTGGCAACAATTGGGCATGCTTACCCATGCTGTGCCATCTCCCCGATGTGATCTTCCCCGTCTACACTCCAAATCATTGCCTGCCTTCTTTCTTTTTGTATGTACAAATCTCTCTACCCCCTTTTATTCACAGAACACAGGCTGCATTCTACCCGGTTCTTAATAAGTGAACCTGCTCCCAGCTTCTAATGTTTTGGCCTGTCAGTGCAAAGATCTCAGGGTGACCACAAGCACTCCAAAGCGGATTAAAATTAGGTAGCTACTATTTCACACTGACTTATGAACCTTCCCCCACCTGCAGAAAGGCAAGAGGGACTTGTCCTGAGCTGATCTTAGATGAGCTATTGTGTTTTTAACCTCATACAGTAAGCACTTTGTTGTTGTTTTTTTACTGCTGCAAGATAGGCAAACCAGAAACGTCTACAGAAATGTCCAGAACGGCTAGACAAGAAATAGAGACAGAAGCCAGGGGACAACTAGATGATACACCTGGCTGGGATGATGGGTGACCAGCCACCTGAATAGCGTGCCTGACCTTCAACTGATATTGCCACCCGGCTGCCGCCACCCTGTTGCCCAGATATGCTGAAAGAGCTGAAAGGTAACAAGAAAAAGGGAGCAACACAGAGACACCAGGAATTCTGTTCCCCTTTCATCAGCTCAGCTCTCTACCTGGAGAGCAACAACAATAGCTTTAAATGCACGAACATGCATGACAATTGCCTAATGGCCAGAACGGGAAAGGAAACATGAGTTGAAACGTTTTGGTTCGCCATGAAAGGTTTACGTGTTGCTTTGATTTCCTTGGAGACATGGTTGCGCTCTAACCTGTAGTGCCGCTGCGTCTTGACCGTTTGCGTGATACAGGAGTCCAAGCGCGAAGAACCTGTGTAAGAAGCAGTATTGTTTAAAAAAAGGCAAATGAGTATTTGGCATTCTATGTGATAAACGGGCTTAATGATTTAATTATTGAGCCTGATTTGTGGTCGTAATAAAGACCGATTGGATTGGATTAATTCTTGCAAAGTTTCTGTGAGCTGGGTCTATTTATTCCCACTTTACATGTGAAGGAGGTCGCATTTCTTCCTCCTATTTGCTACTTGGGGGTGAGGTTGTAGCCCTGATTCCAGAACACAACACAGCCAGCATCCGAAGAGCACGCACACCAGGACCAGGTGGGCCACTGGCCTGATTCATCAGGCTGTTCTCACGTTCACTTGGAAGAGAGTCCGATAGCCTTCTGCCCTCTTCTCAGCTGAAGCAGGAACAAGTCAGTGGGAAGGACTGACATAGGCGGTCCTTCAAACCCTTGCTCAGCCATAAAGTTCAGGCTCCTACAGTTACGCAACAAGCACGGCTGTATTCAGATGCCACAGTTACACAACAGCTAACAGTTCTTATGTGGGTGACTCAAGATCCTTCGGAAGAAAAGGAACATTTCTCGAAAGTTAGGCTCTCTTTTCGAGCGATGCTGATGCTAAAAGGCAAAAAGGGGAAGTCACTTAGGGGTTATGAGGAAAAAATGTTTATTTTAGGAATGTGCAGTGCTTTTCTTTGAGAAAAACGGTGCCAGGACTCACCATGGAAGTTGCCACACTTTTAACCAGTGCTTTTCTTTCAGAGAAAATCAGGTGCCAGTACTGCCTACCCTTGAGCACCTCCAGAAAAAAAGCACTACCAATGTGTATTGTGCCTGAGCTTGCTTTTCCCTCCTCCCTCCCATTCCGTTTTTCCTCACGTGCCATGACTTTTTGGACCAACACCCTGAGGGCAGGTACCATCTTTTGCAAGCCGCTCTAAAATCCCTTTTTTCAACAAACAATATTAAATAATCTTACACACACACGGTAGTCTCGGGAGTTGGCACTAGGGGACTTAGAACGCTATTTTGCTGCTTGCATTTTTAAAATTAAAAACGGTTATGGAGAAAAATTAGTTGCTCACTGGAGGCCTCACATCATTCAAAATGGAACATGGGCATCTAGTTAAAAGATATTTAAAAAAAACAAAAACCCAGAAAATAATTAGGGTTGTTACTGGGCATTTCTCCTTTCACTTTGAGCTTTACTGGGGGTTAGGAAATGTCACCCAGAGGCTTACTTTTTGTGCTTTTCCAACCACGCGGCGCTATCTGCGAGAAGGCAGAAATTCTCGGAGACCAGCAGATCTAGAAGGCTTTCGTGACCAGACTCTGCGTAGAGCTTGAGCAGTGCCGTGTCCACGTCCTCCTTGTAGCCGTTGGCCACGTCGGTGCTGCGCACTTCGTTCAGGTAGCTCATGAGGAACTGCTTGCACTTGGCCATCTTCTCCTGGTCCCCCTGTGTCAGCTGGTTCAAGTCCGCATATTCGTGGAGGGGAGGGTGAGTCCGCATGAAGGAAGAGGAAGAAGGCAGCAGGAAGGGGTAGAGAGAGATCAGCTCCCGGACGTCCAGCTGGCCGCCTCTGCAATTACAGGGTCAAACTAAATGAAGCAAAAAGAAAGGGGAAAGTATACAGAGGAGCATGCGCATGCGGCGCGCGCGCACACACCACACACACACAGACAGAGGACACTTAGCTTGGTACAGTCATACCTTGGGATAAATATGCTTCATGATAAGTATTTTCGGGTTGTGCTCCGCGGTGACCCGGAAGTAACGGAGCGCATTGCTTCCAGGTTTCGCCACTCACGCATGCGCAGATGGTCAAAATGACGTCACGCGCATGCGCAGAAGCAGCAAAATGCAGCCACAGATGCGCAGTCATGTCTTACGCTCTATTCAGGATGCAAACGGGGCTCCGGAACGGATACCGTTCGCATCCCGAGGTACCACTGTACATACTTCAGCAGCTAGGTTGCTCACCAGAGCAAGACGGTTTGAGCACCTTACACCTATCCTGGTCCAACTGTACTGGCTACCAGTTAGTTTCCAGGCCCAATTCAAAGTGCTGGTTTTGACCTATAAAGCCTTAAATGGCTCAGGACCACGCAATACCACCTCTTTCCATATGAACCTACCCGAGACCATCTTCGGAAGCCCTTCTTTGTGTGGCAGCTCCTTGTGAGATCTGGAAGGTGGCAACACGAGAATGGGGCCTTTTCTGCACTGGCTCCCCGTCTGCGGAATGCTCTCCCCACGGAGCAAAAACGTTCCCTCTCAACTAGGCCTTTGACTGATTTGACATCTGATACCCTTTAAAAATGTGTTTGGGGGCAGTTATTGGGTTGTTTTTTGTTTTTAATATGTATTTTGTGTTTTTATTTTGTGACTTTCTGTTGTAACCACCCTGAGACCGAGTATAGGGCGGTATACAAATTGATAAATAATAATAGGGAAATGTGGACACTTGTTACAGCTGCCCATAACTTAGCATTAAGAAATCTAGATCAAAACCGAAGCAGGGGACAAAGGGTTAAAGCACTGCAAGCCCCCTCCTAGTGTCCCACTAGGACCCACGATTGGGCACCCCAAGTGGGTGACTTATGAGGGAAAACCCTCTCTCCCTCCATCGATGCTCCAGGTTGTTTCCCCTGCACAAGAAGCTCCAGACTTCTCCTGCCACCTCATTCTCGCTTATAAGGCAAGGTCCTACTCTTTTCTTCTTTTTCTTCCTTGTTTCCCTTTCCTGAGGGGCAACTAGGAGTGTTGGCATCCTGGAAAGCAAGGCTGCAGCTGCCCTGCCCTCTTCCCTTCGTTTAAATGCCTGCAGTTCATGTGGGGAATGGCAAAGGGCAGCTCCACAGGAAGCCAAGGGAATTAATGCACACCACAAAAGATAGATCGGTTGGTTGATGGATTGATGGATGGATGGATGGATTGATTTATACCTTGCCCATCTGGCTGGGCCTCCCCAGCCACTTGGGGCGGCTCCCAACAGAATATTAAAAACATGATAAAACATCAAACATTAAAAACTTCCGTAAACAGGGCTGCCTTCAGGTGTCTTCTAAAAGTCAGATAGTTGTTTATTTCCTTGACATCTGGCGGGAGGGTGTTCCACAAGGCAAGGCCCTCTGCCTGGTTCCCTGTAACCTCACTTCTCGTAGTGAGGGAAACCGCCAGAAGGCCCTCGGAGCTGGACCTCAGTGTCCAGGCTGAACGATGGGGGTGGAGACGCTCCTTCAGGTATACAGGGCCGAGGCCATTTAGGGCTTTCAAGGTCAGCACCAACACTGATGTGCTCAGAAACTTTAGGGCAGGCAGGGGGTTTTAAAGGGTGCCCAAGAGGCAGTGGGTGTCATGGTGCCTGTGGGTGCCGTGTTGGTAATCCCAGATCTAAGCTACGTTACAAACAGAACTCTATTTCCATATTTACCATCGCTTCTGTTGTATGTGCAACAGCAAACTGAAAAGCTCAGTTCCCAGAAGCTATGCAGTTTGCCGGCACACATACACACACAGTACCCGTCAGAATGCCTATACAGTGGTACCTGGGGTTACAGACGCTTCAGGTTACAGACGCTTCAGGTTACAGACTCCGCTAACCCAGAAATAGTACCTCGGGTTAAGAACTTTGCTTCAGGATGAGAACAGAAATTGCACAGCAGCGGCAGTCCCCATTAGCTAAAGTGGTGCTTCAGGTTAAGACCAGCTTCAGGTTAAGAACGGACCTCCAGAACAAATTAAGTTCTTAACCTGAGGTACCACTGTACCAATATTAAGGGGAAAGCCAAGGCAATTGTTGCAAACACCCAGCTGATTCAAAATCAAACCTGGTACGTCAGCTGTTGCCTAGATGCAAGCAAGACAGGGGCCTGTGGGCAGAACAGACGAGCACTATCTCATGGCCTTTTAACAGTTTCAGTATACAGCAATCAGGAGGACTTGGGAACATGTCAGAGAGTTACCTCACTCATCAGCCACTACCGAATCAAAAAAGAGCAACCCCAAATTTGCTTTGGTCCGCGATCCTAAATCTTTTGCCTTCTAAGTGTTTCAGTCCTGCCTCATGACAATATTTCAGAACTCGGAAGCCTTTAAACCCAAGCACAAGGATCCAATCGGTTGCCGAGTAACACTCAAAATGTGTTCTTCGCCCCACATGAGGGATTACCTGAAGAGTTCTTTTGCTTCTAGGAACTGAAGCTGTGCAAACTGTATAAATCCCGCTTGCTGCAAGATTCGTTTGTACATAACCTAAATGGGAAACAAAGAGGGTAAAATATCACCCGTTTAGGAAACCGATGAAAGAAAAATATATATAGCGTGGCTCATACACTAGTTGTGCCATGCTGAAATGAGGGCTAAGCCAGAATCTGACTTGATTTAAAGCTCATAACTGCATGCAATTTGTACGACTTTCACAATATGGAGAATCAGAGAGTTGGGTAAGGCTGCAAGTCCACCCTGAGACTACGAAGCATAGCTATCTAGCTATCAGCTTCCCGGCAAGTCCTCTGGGGACTGCGAAAGGGTGCCAGTTGCAACAGAGAAAGAAGCACACATGAGAAACTTTTCCAGATGACTCCAGCAATGTCTGTGCTGAGAACCTACAGGCACTTCCAAGTCAATGAGATTCCCAGAGCTGATCAATCCCATGAAGGAAACAGCATAAGAACATGTGGATTGTGTGCATACAAAGTAGCAATGTAATGTGCACACCGCAAAATGCACGTACGTGCAAGTTGCAACTGGGCTGCATGCTCTCTCAGATGTGGAAACTGTCCCAAACAGTTTTCATACCCGAAGCCAGCATAGAACAGTCTACAAGCCAACTACTTTGAATCGAGATGCAATGTTTTCAAAATCCACAAGTAGCGCACCTATTTTCACCTGTTCCCTCCTTTCACTGATTTGAGCAGAAGCTAAACCTGGCAAGCTCATAGTGTATCCTAGACCTATTGCAATCTTTCCAAAGCGCTCTCCTGCGATGCACCTGGACCTTGGAGAAATCATTCGCAGACTAAACTTCCTCGCAGGACCACTGCAGGCACAAAAGGGTGTGTATGTGTGAGAGACAGAGTGAGAGAGTGTCTGTGGAGAATCACGTAACGGTGCCTCAAGCTCCTTGGAAGAAGGCTGAGATATAAATGCACCAGCAATAAATATACAAAGACATGTGAAGACGAGCGCTGGCACAAAGCGAAAGGAGATGAAACAAAAGGACTCAACTGTGGCTAATGAAATAATGCTCTACGGTGAAAAGAATCTGATGTTTTAATTTGTCTTCTAAACTTTCCTGTAATTTAATTAAATTTATCTAGCCTCAAGCAATACAAAATTACACGGGGAGGGGGGGAATCCATGGACATTAAATAAGCTCTGGTAGTAGAGTCAAGTCATTCATCTGAAGAGAGTTCAAGCTAAAGTGATTTGAAGGCAAAGCGAGAAGGTGAGTGGGTGGGGAGACTGCGAAGCCCCCCACCCTTGGGTAGACTTTATGAAGGGCTGCTGGGTCAAGAAAGTTCAAACGGTGATCCTAGATCCAAGAAAGCATAAATTGTTTCAGAGAGCTGGTACAGCACAATAGCTAAGAGAAGATCTAATCCATTTATTTTATTTATAGCCCACCTCGCCTTCCAAGGAGCTTGAGGTGGTATTGTGCATCTTCTCTTTCCCCCGTTTTATCTTCACAACACCCCTGTGAGGGAGGTTAGGCCAAAATATTTCAACTGCCCCAGAGTCGACCATGGATTTCATGGCTGAGTGGGAATTTGAACCCTGATCTCCCAGGTCCTAGCCCAATGCTTATGAGCACAGTGCCTATGCGAGTTACTCCCACCCTCAGAGATGCAACAAAGAGATAAGGATGCCAACAAACACGGATATTTACATTCCACAATGCCTGTCACCACCTTTTACGCTTGCTAAACTACTACTTCCGCCTGGAAGCAAGATCTGTTGAAGAAGGAGAAGAAGAGTTTGGGTTTGATATCCCGCTTTATCACTACCTGAAGGAGTCTCAAAGCGGCTAACATTCTCCTTTCCCTTCCTCCCCCACAAACAATCTGTGAGGTGAGTGGGGCTGAGAGACTTCAGAGAAGCGTGACTAGCCCAAGGTCACCCAGCAGCTGCATGTGGAGGAGCGGGGAAGCGAATCCGGTTCACCAGATTACGAGTCCACTGCTCCTAACCACTATACCACACTGGCTCTTTACTTCTGTTGAAATAAATGAAACTTGCTTTTCCACAAGAAATAGTTTAAGATTAAAGTTAGTCAGCTGAAAAGGTGGCACACGGCCTTTTTATTCCAGTTGCAAATGATTACAGGGATGTTCATTACTCAGAAAACGGAACAATCTTAACTCTCAACACACCCAATCCAACTAAACGCTACAGCTTCCTAATATCTCATAGCTTAAAGACCGTATCCTGGAAGCAGCTCTAAGAATGGCTCTCTCTCTCTCTTGCGATACCAGCATGTAAATGGCTCCAGTTTCTAGATACTTCAAAATAAGACTTCCAGCTTTTCAAAGCTTGCTTGCAATTCTGCTTGCCTTCACATGCCCAGATGCATTCAAAAAAATACCAACAGACCTGAAATTTCTCTTTCGGAATATTTCTTCGGGCTCCCTTTGCTAAGACTAATGCCTCTTCGACTCTGTGGCTGGCCAACAGATCCTGAATCTGTGTTTCCAGAGGTAGTGGGACCAAGATATAGACCCCTTTGGTGGTAGCCACAATTACTCTGCCTGGGGGGAAAAGAATGAAAAGAAGATGTCCATTTTACATGATCACAAATGACTTAAAAAACAAAAACAAAATATATATAGAAAAGTCACTGAGATGCATAAACAACTTAAAGAGGAAATACATTTTGAGGAGGAAATTTGATTTTGAATTGATTTTAGAATGCATTTCAATTAACTGATTGTGATTTTATGTAAACTGTGTTACTTTTATTGTTGGTAGCCACTCTGAGCCCGGCTTCGGCTGGGGAGGGCGGGATATAAATAAATTATTATTATTATTATTATTATTATTATTATTATTATTATTATTATTATTATTTGCAAATCCAGCGCAATGCAAACACAGCAATATATCAGATAATAGCGAAGTTAGGAAGGCAGCACCTGGCCTTGCAAAAATGTACCGTATTTTTCGCTCTATAACACGCACCCGACCATAACACGCACGTAGTTTTTAGAGGAGGAAAATCCGTAGGCATGCCACCCATAGGCATTTCCTCCATAACACGCACAGACATTTCCCCTTACTTTCTAGGAGGAAAAAAGTGAGTGTTATGGTGCAAAAAATACGGTAGTTACCATTGGGATCAAGTATCTTTGCTGACATTTTAGTGATGGAACATGGATTTAAGTTACAAGTGCACAAATGGTCGCTGATGGTTCTACAAACACGTTTTCTTCCTCCATTTTAAAATGAAGAAATGAAACTCCACATCAGTTCGGTTTAGCTAGTGTCTGCCAGATTATTTTTAGAATATGCCAGTTGTATTTCCACATAAAAAGGAGCTTGAAGCAACACTTGTACAAACAACATTAAGAGTGCTGCACTTGCACAATCTCAAATCATGCTCATGCTTTCCAAAAGTGCCAAACAAACGCTGTCAACCGCTTTATTTTTTGAGTCTCTACGATCTTCCATATGAAGTACTTCCATGTCACCCCCACAGGAGAGATATTTTGCGTCCGATGGCAATAAATATCTTTCACGTTGGACAACAGACCCTTATTATAGGAAGTGCACCCTCTTGAATCAACCAGCTATTTACAGCCAGCGGCCATTTTGTGTACGTCCAAGTGACACACGAATGTGCCAACATGTGCGCCAATTTTGGCCCAAGAAGGGGGAGGAACTAGGCGGGGACACGACAGGTTGACACGCACAATGACCTGGAAAGCGACCCCTTTCGGGGGTTGGCCCATATATGCATTTTTCAATCACTGTATGCACATTTGAAGTGTGGGTTTCCTTAGCTCCAGAGCATGATCGTTCCTCAGAACATGGATGAGGAACTCCAACTTCCATCAACCCTAGCATGGCTAAATGTCGGTGTTGATGTGTAGCAACACCTAGAGAGTCACAGATTATACGCCCTTTCCTTAAGAGTGTGATCAGTCCTGAGAATACACAATAAAAGCCATTCAGCTCATTAGCTCCTTAGGGCATGTTTTGCGGCTACACGCAGAAGAAGAGTAGAAGAGTTTGGATTTGATATCCCCCTTTATCACTACCCGAAAGAGTCTCAAAGCGGCTAACATTCTCCTTTCCCTTCCTCCCCCACAACAAACACTCTGTGAAGTGAGTGAGGCTGAGAGACTTCAGAGAAGTGTGACTGGCCCAAGGTCACCCAGCAGCTGCATGTGGAGGAGCAGGGAATCGAACCCGGTTCACCAGATTACGAGTCTACCTCTCTTAACCACTACAGCACACGTAGGCCGAGCAATACGGATAACCCGGGAATGTAATACAATACTTAATATTTTGAGTGAGAAATGCTGAGGACTAAGATGGGGAACCAGATTGCTGATGGACCACAGCTCCCATCATCCTTGACAACTGGCCATGCTGGTTGGGGCCTGCTGGGAGTTCAAAAACATTGGAGGACCACAGGTTCTTCATCCTTGGCTTAAGAAAAGCAGTTCAGTGGTTTGCTCTTGAGCCAGTCCCTGCCTTTTATGTTTTTTTAAAGACTGTAAGAAAAACACTTAGATCTCCCCCAAAGTATTTCACCACACACACACACACACACACACACACACACACACAATTAGGTACCTTCAAAGTCTTGCAGGATATGACCATCCTTAAAGGGTAGTGTTTGTTTTTGCTGCTGGTCTAGCATACTATGCACTGTAATGAACTCCTCGTCCAGTGCAACTACGTAAGGAAAGCAGAGGGCAGCACCAACCACGTTTTCTGACCAGTGAACAGGAGCACGCTGGGAAATGCCGTCAACAGTTGCAAACATGCCTGCCGGTTTAGAAAGGGAGCAATGAGTTAGAAGTCTGATCGGACAACCAACTGATCACCGAGCTTCTACACAGTTATCTGCATAAAGCTACACCTTTTTAAACTGTGTTAACCAGTATGGAACATTCCGTCACACAAGTGAGTTTTAGAAACAAATAGATAAAAGGATAGGTTGTGCGAGAATCAGTTGTGCGGACTGTTGTGACGCTCCGAAGACCGACGAGAGAGATGGTCGGCTGGAGCCTGCCCTACCTGGCTCTCACTCCGCCCCGCCCCCAGCCGGCAGCTGATTGGCTAGGTGGGGAGGGGGTGAAGTGATGGCCAGTAAGCAAAGGGGGTGTCAACCAGGCACAGGAAGCCCATGCCAGGTTGCAAATCCCCGCCCACTGCTTTGAAGAGTGAGCGGTCATTGTGCAAGAATCAGTTGTACGGACGGTGATTTCAACCAGACGTTCGGTGTCTCAGTTGCATTTAATGTTAGAAAGAACGTTGCATGACATTTCCGTTTGGTCATCAGTGATGTTCTGTCCTTCACCATACAGTAGAAGGAACGGACACCTTGTGGAACAACAGTCAGGTACATTTGTTTGAAAGAAAGGTCCATAGTGTTCAGTGGTATAATAATTTAATAATAATAATTTATTATGTATACCCTGCCCATCTGGCTGGGCTTCCCCAGCCACTCTGGGCAGCTTCCAACAAAATATTAAAATACAGTAATGCATCAAACATTAAAAGCTTCCCTAAACAGGGCTGCCTTCAGATGTCTTCTAAAAGTCTGGTAGTTGTTGTTCTCTTTGACATCTGGTGGGAGGGTGTTCCACAGAGAGGGCGCCACTACCGAGAAGGCCCTCTGCCTGGTTCCCTGTAACCTCACTTCTCGTAGTGAGGGAACCGTCAGAAGGCCCTCGGTGCTGGACCTCAGTGTCCGGGTAGAACGATGGGGGTGGAGACGCTCCTTCAGACATACTGGACCGACGCCGTTTAGGGCTTTAAAGGTCAGCACAAACACTTTGAATTGTGCTCGGAAATGTACTGGGAGCCAATGTAGGTCTTTCAAGACCGGTGTTATGTGGTCTTGGCGGCCGCTCCCAGTCACCAGTCTAGCTGCCGCATTCTGGATTAGTTGTAGTTTCCGGGTCACCTTCAAAGGTAGCCCCACATAGAGAGCATTGCAGTAGTCCAAGTGGGAGATAACCAGAGCATGCACCACTCTGGCGAGGTGGTAGATACATGCCCACTGAACTATCTACAGCTACAGTGCAGTTCTCCACAGTAGACGTGCCCCTCTGCTGGCAAAGATCTTGCTCACTGGTAGAGAGGCCCCTCTGCCCTGTTTCTCCTGCAGCCTGTGGATCTAGGACTCAGGGATTGCTCCATGTGCTATCAAGCCTAACAACAGTACACAGATGTTTCCTCCAGAAACGAATAGCCACCTGCCCTCTCCATAAGAACAGAAGGCTCCACTTATTAAGGAAAGCAAGAGCGGACTCTCCTCTTTAACAAGCTATTTACACCATGTAGGATTCACCTTATCTCAGGCAAAGCTGGGGATCTAATACTGAGCTACGGCTGAGCCATAAATGCTTACGGATAGCAGCTTCACAAAAACAACCTTAATTCTACAACCTGCAAAAGGAATCCAAGCGTGTTAGAAAACAGGACAATAAATAAACAGGTATTAGCAAGGAGGTTGCGATTCCCCCCAGAGGATGCAGTTTGAATCTTGAAGCAGCACAACTGACTCCAGTGTTGGCTTAACAAAGTTACCCTGCACTACTTAGTTTGTTTCTTACAGTAGGTAGGTCCTGGCACAATTCAAGCCCTGTATTGGACAAGTCAAGTAAGTGACACGGGAGGCACCCAAACGCCAAAAAACATCAGAATTCAATTTTAGTGGAATGCCACTAACAGCCTGATCCTACAGTGAGTGAAGCAAACCCAATCCCATTGATTTCAATGGGTTCAAGCATGCCTAGCACTGATTAGGGTCAGGCTGCAAGGAAGCACGAATTTCCAAGATCAGACTACTCATTCGTGTTTTCCAATATGCTACTTTTTAAAAAAGCAAAACAAGATTGATCAGCAGTTGCTAGAGTCTTGGGGCCTTTCCACACAATTGGCTTTTAGTACAATATGCAGCACATCTCCCTCCAGACTGTGATTTTATGGCGTTTTCTCAAGTTAGAAAATAGAGGCCTGGCGGGACGCAGCCTTTGACCCTGCCAATTCAGTGCATTCATTCACATTACAACTGCTGCCTGTGATGTGCCTGCACAATTGTCATAAGCATTTGCTGGGCATCTTTAAACGCAGCACGCCAGCCCTGTGTCCACAACAGTATGTAAACTTTTGCTTTTTATTTCCTTATTTCTTTTGTCGTCTGCATGCTCTGCTGCTGTGAAATTACAGCTCGTTGCACAGAAATAAGGTATTGGTAAGACCGGATAGGAGGGATGCGGGTGGCGCTGTGGGTTAAACCACAGAGCCTAGGACTTGCTGATCAGAAGGTCGGTGGTTCAAATCCCCACGACGGGGTGAGCTCCCGTTGCTCAGTCCCTGCTCCTGCCAACCTAGCAGTTCGAAAGCACGTCAAAGTGCAAGTAGATAAATAGGTACCGCTCCGGCGGGAAGGTAAATGGCGTTTCCGTGCGCTGCTCTGGTTTGCCAGAAGCGGCTTAGTCATGCTGGCCACATGACCCAGAAGCTGTACGCCGGCTCCCTTGGCCAATAGAGCGAGATGAGTGCCGCAACCCCAGAGTCGGCTATGACTGAGCCTAATGGTCAGGGGTCCCTTTACCTTTAAGACCGGATAACACAGCACCAAGGAACAAATGGATCAAGATTTGACATATCATGGGAGGACCAAACCCTTTCTAAGCACAGACCCAAAATCTTCCCAACGGGAAGCAGAGAACATTGCGACCTTACCTAATCCTCCAGGTCCTGCCAACAGGAATTCTTGCCTGCCCACTCTTTTCACAATGGGCCGTCTCTCTTCGCTAGAGTAAGGAAAGAGGTCCTGGGAAACGCCAGTGTCGTAGTTCAGAATAATGTACTGGGTGGTGAGAGCGAGGCATAAATAGTGGCCGTCTATAGCCACGGCACAAGGCTGCTCCGGGGTGAGAAGCTCCTTCACAATCTGAACGCGGTCCTCATAGACCAAGAAGAGCTGGATGGTCCTGCGCTTGACCGAAACGATACAAACCTCAACGCAGAAAGGATCCCCGCTCATGGGGTTCTCGTTCAACGTGAACATCGTAGCTCCCTTGATCCTAGCCCCCGTGGGGATGGGCTCCAAGTTCATCATGTTCATCAGCGTTATGGTGTTGTCGCAAAGCACCAGGAGCCTATTGAGCGCCGACGCGGCTTTCAGCTCCCCCACGGGCTTCCGAAAACTCAGGTATTTGTGCAGCTGTTTGGAGACGGAAAAGGACGTTTTCTCAGCTGGCGAGTTCTTTTCTTCCAGCAGGAAGTAGTAGATGGAACAGTCATTGGTTCCAATATACAGGTTCTTCCCGCAGCACTCGATGCATTCGATGTTGATCCGAGCTTTGTCGCCCATCAGCAAGTCCCGCTCCACCGCGGGGACGAGCCTGAAGGCCTTGACACTCATCGCGCTTTCCAGATGGACCTGCCGCGGAAAAGGAGAAGAGAGGCTTATTTTTATCCACACCCAAGCAGCAGGGAGAACAAACAGAACGTTTAAAGGGAATCAACCCAGACCTTCAGTTTGTTAACAGAGCCTGTAAACAGGTGCCCTTTCTGAAGCAACACTAGAAATGGTACATCTGTTAACTTCTCTCCGTACGTGGCTAGCCTGAAGCTAATATAAGGCAAGCAGACTGGCGCAGATCAGCTCAAAATCTGCAGTCTATAACTTTATCGGCTCCAGGCAGACAGCAGGAAGAGGAAAAGCACCTCCCTTGGTTTACTGGGAATGCAGGTTGCATGTATGTTTGTCCAAGAAACCTTTCCCACCACGGACCACTTTAAAAACTGTTGAGAGTCTTGTCAGAGCACCTAATGATTTTTCTGCCCATTGCAGCAATTGTAATGTGCTGTGCTAGACGCTATATGATTTTTTAATTGTTTCCACTGCTTTTTAATTCTTGGATCTGGAATTCCATAGAATTCAAATTGTAATACAGCAGACCCACAACTTACTTGGGGGTTATGTTCCAGGAACAGCGCATAAGGCCATCATTGCATATAGTCAAAACACAATGCAATGGTGGGTGGGATTACCAAAGTCCCCTCCACACACACACATCCCCTTTTAAAATATTATTATTATTAGCACGTAAAGCTAAATGCACACAAGTTAAATGTGCATAGGTTGTAGGTGTACTTTACAATAAAATACAAATACAAATAACCACCTGAATGTAGCTCACAGGTCCTGGTCGTCCACAGACCAGTTTGGGAACCCCTGCTTTAGGAAGATGTATGTAATTCACTTCTCTTTGATTTAGTACACTTTTGTTGCTTTCTTTTTTCCAAAGCAGCACACATGGCGTCCCCAGGCATTCCCCAATCCAGACACTGCAATATGGCTGCCTGTGCCCTGAGACCGTGTCCCTGCACAGCTGCGGCTTCCCCTCTCCTTTCACAGCTTCAGAAATACTGTACTCACATTACCTGTACACACAGCTGCGAGGGAGTCACTTTCACTTTAATCCTGACATAAAACTGAGTATACCCTCAAAACCTTTCAAGAAAGCAAGACAGCTTCTAGTTCTTCCCAATTTTTTGTCTCCTAAATAGTGCCGCTATCCAATTTTCTGACTTCCTAAAGCCATCATAAGCGTTGGGAATACTTTTTGGAATTAAGCGCTCACTCCCAGTGGCTCAGCAGAGAATGTGTGGCGCGTAATCTGACTGCATCATATTCTCCTTCTGCCACACATATTGCAGTGGTTAGATTGTTGGACTAGGGCCTAGGAGACTAGGGTTCAATTCTCCACTCAGCCATGAAGCTCAATGGGTGGCCTTAGGCCAGTCACTGTCTCTCAGCCCAGCCTACCTTGAAGGGTTGTGGTGGGGATTAAATGAGGAGGGGGAGAATAATGAAAGCCACTTTGAGCTCTATGGAGGAAAAGGAGGGATAGAAATGCAACAAATAATACAAGGTGGTGTAAGAGAAGTGTGGGGAACCTCTCCAGGGGACTCTCCTTTATACCCAAGCCATGCCCCTCCATTGACCCTCTTATTGAATGCTTTTGCGTGGCTGGGAAAAGCCCTCAAACTGCCTTTCACTTTCCTATATGGAGAGATGTGCAGGCACGTTCCTTCGATGTGAAATGGAGAGGTGTGTTGGTGTAGACACCTCTGGCTTTTGTGTGTGGCTGGAATTTAACCTGTTGCTCCACCTGCTTTTGCCTGTGGAGCTGCCTACCACTGGTACGAGGCACGCCCCCCCCAAGGAAGCCCAAGAAAAAATGCAGCCCTCAGGCTGAAAAAAGGTTCCCCACCTCTGATATAAGCAGTGGCTTTAAGAGGCGCGTGCCTCAGTTTCATTTGCTGAGAACACCGGTTGCCATCTTGCCTCTGGGCTTGCTAGGAGCATCTTGTAGGCCACTGTGGGGAAAAGGGTGAAAGACTAGTCACTAGGCAGGAGTTTTTTCTCCCCCAGCATAGCTCTTTCCCCCCGATGTTTTGCTGAGCAATTGCCAGTTTTCATCCCATTGCATGTTGTAGCTATTTAACCGTGTATTAAGTGTGGCAATAACAACAGAGGTATACAAGGTACAGTGGTACCTCGGGTTACATATGCTCCAAGTTACATACGCTTCAGGTTACAGACTCTGCTAATCCAAAAATAGTACCTCAGGTTAAGAACTTTGCTTCAGGATGAGAATAGAAATTGTGCTCCAGCGGTGCTGGCAGCAGCAGGAGGCCCCATTAGCTAAAGTGGTGCTTCAGGTTAAGAACAGTTTCAGGTTAAGAACGGACCTCCGGAACGAATTAAGTACTTAACCTGAGGTACCACTGTATAACAATAATAGTTTACATGAGATATCATTTATCACCTTTCTCTCAATTCTACTGATCTTAATTCTACTGCTATAAGGAGACTTATTAAGATTTTTCTATAATGCGAGGCCTCACTGTAGACTGTCATTTTCTTACATGTAAATTATGCCTAAAAACTTTGGATTCGTGGTTTTGCATATTTTCAAGACGCACAGAGGCTGTCGAGTAGGCGACACACAAATTTAATAAATGACAATGATGAGTATTCTGGGCTGACTAATGTGCTCTCGAGTGCAGAGGAGTTCATAGAATAAATACAACAACAGAAGGCTCAGCCACGCCAATCCACAACTGACTATTGCAACACACGGATGACACAGTAGTGCACCTGCAATTGTGAAATGCAACACACCCGTGCTTCCTGCCTGGATTTTGATAACCAGAATGAGTCTATGGCACCTTCCTTTTATACAGATTACCTGTGCCCGCTCTATTAAGACATCAACAACATGACACACCACAGAACAGCAGGTGATGTTGTAAGGCTTTCTAACACCGCTGCTTATGAAGAGTGTGGAACTGCTCAAACTTCTGGGGACAGTGTGACTTCCATTAAACTTGCCTACAACCAGTGTTTTTTCTACTGCCATTCTGTCCCTGCTCCAAGGGAGTCAGGAAGAAGCAGCCTGTGTGTGGAGGCCGGGTCAGTTCTTGACCTTAGGCACGGAATATGGCCGTCATTACTTTTTGAAACTCCACAGAGGCGATCAGCCCAGCCCAGCCCAGCCCCTATACCTAGTGAGAACTTGAGCTGGTTAGCTGAAAGCTAACCAAACAAACACAGAGAGAGCGCCTTGAAGTAAGGTAAAGGTAAAGGACCCCTGGACGGTTAAGTCCAGTCAAAGGTGACTATGGGGTTGCGGCACTCATCTCACTTTTCAGGCTGAGGGAGCCGGCGTTTGTCCACAGACAGCTTTCCAGGTCATGCGGCCAGCGTGACTAAACCTTGAAGTATAAGCAATGGGAAGATAGTAAGAACGAAGTAAAGAAAGAAACGTGCAGCGGAATAAGTACTGTGCATAAGGCAGCAGGTAATTGGAGGGGGTGGGGATTTCCTCCACCCCCTGCAGTTATGCTGCCTTATGCACAGTACTTATTCTGCTGCCAAGAATGTAAGAATGGGAAGCTGAATTGCTAAGAAATTTGTGTAAATTGCACAAAGTTTATCAAGCCTATAAAAATATACATATTGGTCTGTTTCCAACCAATGAAAACACAACAGTGCATCAAACGTATTTAAAACATTTAACAAACTTCCCTATGCAGGGCTGCCTTCTAAACACCGTATATAATATACATGAGCCTAATGGTACTTAGATGGTGTCTCTGCACCATTCTTACCAAGATGCAGGGAGGAGCTTTGGCTGCTGCAACCCAGCCCAGCCCACTACCCACCAGCCTCACCCCTCCTTCCTTTACCCCCCCACCCCAGTTTAAAAAACCCGTCCACTTGCTACACACGAGTAGTACTTACTAACCCTCCCAGATACGGAAAGGGAAACTGCGCTTTGTACCAAGCAGCGCACCAGGCCAGGCGAGCAGTCTTGGGCTAGCAGCAGCGACACCCCCAGCACCCAAGGGCACCACGCCCACCCCGGGGCCGGCGCGGGGTTGACCCCCTGCCAGCAAAGGGTGCCGGACCGAGGCAGAGGCAGGGAGACCCGGGAAGGGGCCGGGAAGGAGGAGGGGGGCGAGGAAGGCGCGGGCGTACAGTCTTTTTTTACCCAGCCCCCGTTGACCGTCCGCGCCGAGACCTCCGCTGCGAGCCGAGCCCGCTCCTCCTTCCAGGCCCCGCCGGCGCTGCTCCGGGGCTCTCCCGCCGCCGCGGTGGCGAAGCCAGCGGCAGCTGAGTCTCTCCCTCCGCGGGCGGCGGCGGCGGCGGCGCCGCGGCCCTTCCGGTCACAAGGCGAGGCTGACAGGCGGAGGCTCCTCCCGCTGGAAGGGAGGGAGCAGAGAGAGGGAGGGAGGCGGGAAGGACATCTAGTCCAACCCCCTGCCGTGGGGCAGGGAGACGCAGCTGCCCCCGACGGGGATCGAACCTGCGGGCTCGGCGCCCCCCGCGCCGCGTTCTAACCGACGGAGCTATTCCAGGCTGGACCGGAGGAGAGGGATGCTCCCAAAAGGATGTTCCTCGGGCCGCGGTCCTGCCCGAAAGGTGCCTCCAGCTGCCAGGGACAAGGGAGGAGGGGGAAAGACGGGTGTTCAAGGAAATAAAACAACTCTCTGGTTTTTCCCCTGGATGGGGAAGTTTTAAATGTTGGGTGCCCTATTGTGTTTTCATGGGTTGGGAGCCGACCGAAGTGCCTGGGGCAACCCAGCCAACCCAATAATAAAGTCGTCTTCTTCAGTAGTCAACCCAATAATAACCCAATAATAAAGTCTCCTTCCTCCTCCTCCTTTTCTCCTTCTGTCAACCCAATAATAAAGTCGGCTGCTTCTTCTTCACCAGGAAGAACTTTCTGGAGGTAACAGCTGCTTGACGGTGGGACAGGTGCCCTTGGAAGGTAGATTGCACTTTTCCTTGGGAGGTTTTTAAAGCAAAGGCCACCTGTGCTTGGTACTTCAGTTGAGATTCCTCCATTCTTGTTTATTTACTCTTATTATTTAAATTTGTATACCTCCCTATACCTGCAGCTCTCAGGTATGTCTCAACATAAAAACACGAAATACGTATAATAGAAATAAAAACAAGAGCAACCCAATAATGCCCCCCAACACATTTTAAAAGGGCATTGGGTGCATGGCTAGGGGGTTGGGCTAGAGGACCTTCTAACTCTACGATTCTGCAATCTACGTTGGGATCTGCTGCCCCTGTGGCAATCGCCTTACCTGGCCCTGGTTGCAGTCCTAAGGTGGGGATGGAGCCCAATGCCCAGGCATGTTGGCGGCAAAGTGATTTTTGAGGGTGTGGTCAATGGGGCTTGCTCTCTAGTGTGTCCTGAGATGTCGGTCAGACTAGGAAGTGATTTTAGTATCCGTAGCACCTTAGAGAAGTTGAGCTTTTTCACCAGGTGTAATGGTGGCGAGTGCACTTCAGTGGTGTCATAGCCCAAAGTGGGTGGGACACCCTTTCCAGTCTTTTGGTGCCACCATTCCCCTGTTGCTTGCCCACTATATGAAATTTGGCTGGGGACTAGTTCCCCACCCCTCTCTTAAAGTTTTATTATGGTATCTATTAACACATGACATGTGTGGTGTTAACAGATTTATTATGGTATAAGCTTTTCCGCACTACAGATGCATGACGTCTTACGCTATGTTGGCAGATTTTATATATATTTATGGATATTTGAATTGTAAAGCAATGAGTCCAGTCCAGAATTATGTTGAAACTTAAATAGCAGTAGTTACAAACAAAGGTCAAGGAGCATTTCCATTATGTTGAAACAGATTTAAACTTACAAAGGAGTATGTCAAAAAACACTAAAAACTGTACAATAGATTTTCAGTTGTAATATTTTTTTTCCTGGTCTTAATTATGTATTTTCTTATAATTTCATAAAATAAAAAAATACATTTATGAAGACAAGGACCCAAAAGCTACAAGGAAGTAGGGAAACCCCAAGAAAACAATGTGGACTTAAAACTGTCTGGCCACACAGCAATCACTGAGATTCGGTAGCAACTGCAATACCAAATGTGTTATGATGATTCCCCTTCAGCTTACTCCATCTACTCCCATTTAACTGGGCTAGGCAGGATCAGAAAGCAGAGTCAAACATTAACAACCAGTACAGCAAGTTTCTACGTTAATTATTTTCTTTGTAGTGATGCATCAGGTAGTTGTATGAAGTCTCCCATGTCCTCTGAAGGATAGAGTGAAGCAGACCATGTCTTAGATGTAACTGTCCCAAAATTCTCATACACAGCATAAGCTCTTTATGCAAATGGTATATTAGAATGGCACCGTCTAATACCTTAAAGCAGGGGTGTCAAACTCAAATTCATCGGGGGCCGCATCAGCAGTTTGGTCACCCTCAAAGGGCCGGTTGTATCTATAGGACTCAATATGCGCTCAATATAAAAACAAGTGGAGGTTTCCTGAATGCATGTAAAGTGGAGGTTTCCTGTGTAGAACGGCCGGCGCCGCTAGAGGGCAGACGTTCTCTGGCTTGTAGGCTGCCGCGCATGCGCTGAAGAGGCGGCTTTCTTGTGTAAAAAAAAAAAGTGCAAGAATAAAAGGTGAAGGCTGGCGGCGGCTACACGGGCCACATGACAAGGTCTGGCGGGCCGGATTCGGCCTGCGGACCTTGTGTTTGACACCCATGCCTTAAAGGCTGCAATTCTAGACCCATTTACAGTATCTGGAAATAAGCTCCATTGAAAGAACTGGAATCCATGTGGTTTTTAACAGCAGAACTAAGATACGTGCAAGTCTTTCGATACTGAGGTGATTTAAAAACTACTTGCAATAAGCAGAAATATAGAGCCAGTCCACACTTTTGAAAGCTGCCTATTTTCCTTCTGATGCAGATTGTGCCCAGAAGGTCAGAGCAAGCATATGGGAAGCAGTAAAGTGGAAAGGTGGGACTACTCAGAGACAGGACTTCTTGAAAACATTGTTGCCCAAGGGCTGAGCAAAACCACCTGAGTTGACACTGCTTTTTTATTTCTTAATACACAAATTTGTTGATAAGCTGTCCAGTTACGCCACTCCCATGCAGTTGCACATAGACACAACATGTGTTGTTTAAGCACAATTATCTGTGTACACATTCTTTTTTCCTTTTAATCGCCCAAAGACCAGTTGGGAGTTTGTAGCAAAACCCAGGAATGAAGAGGAAACCTGCAAGCAGCATGAGCTAATCAAATAAAAATAGTGATTATTGCAAGGGCAGAATCTGTGCAATCAACCACTCCTACAGACTTGACCTTCTAACAATTTAAATATTAACAGTGCAATCTTATACATATATACATACTCAGAAATAAACCCCATTGCATTCAATGGAACAACTCCCAGATAATGCTGCATAGAACTACAGCCTAGCAGTGCACTATATATATATATATATATATATATATATATATATATATATATATTCATTTAAGTACCAAGGTGCTTACTTGCAGGTGAAACATACTTCTGAGCAGATACACTTTGATTACAATTTTAAATATATTTGTTAGGAAAATAAGGATAATGAAATGTGAATTGGTTATTTCACAAAGCCAGCCTTGAAGTGGTTTTCAAATTGCTGTACTAACACGCATATACAAACTAGTCAAAAATATTAAAATCGTAGCCATTTCTATCATTATCCAGCCCAAGAAGTCCTTCATGATGGTGTGTGTTCATAGTTCCATCCATTGCTTTTTTTCTAAAAAAAAAATGTTTAGGGGTACTCTCATTTTGACTCAAGAAAACAACCGTTTTATACTTCAAATCAGGAAAAATAAATACAATGTACAAAAGTACAAATATTCACAAAATGTTTAGGAGTATGCGTACCCCCAGAAAAAAGCACTGGTTCGATCCTTCACACATCAATGACAAAGTAATAAGCCTCATCATATTCAGTCAAAAATCTAATCCATTTTATCCACAATATATTATTTTTGATGGCAACATCTTCAGGTAGTGTTTCTATGGCTTCAACAGGCGGAGGTAACTAACAAGAAAATTCAAACTCCAGCCAGGCAGCAGTGGTGCGACAAAGCGGCAGTCAATGCCACACCCACAGCTCAGTTGCTCCCACTGGAGCAGAAGGTGGGAAGGCAATTCACTGCACCAGCCTGGCACTGGCACAGAAATCAAACCCAAACTCTATTCTATTCACCGACAGCAGGGGGATCCCCTCAGGATCCAGTGCATCCCAGGCTGGCCAAACCCTTCCACAACAGCCTGTTCGAGGGCTGAGGGCTGCTGGCAGCACTTCTACCCACACATTTGGCAGGTGGAAAACACGCCTCTCTCTATGCCAGCAGGGTTGGGTTGAGGGACACCTCCACCCACCTTCCTGGCACAAAGGGGTGTGTAGATTTCCAGCCCAATTCTGCAATCTGGTGCAGACTTACCTGGAAAGAAGGTCCACACAGTAGGCCTTACATTTTAAGTACGTATATACAGTACAGTGGTACCTCGGGTTAGGAACTTAATTTGTTCTGGAGGTCCGTTCTTAACCTGAAACTGTTCTTAACCTGAGGTACCACTTTAGCTAATGGGGCCTGCTGCTGCCGCTGTGCTGCCACCACACGATTTCTGTTCTCATCCTGAAGCAAAGGGTTGTTTTTTTTGTTAAATTGTTTTAATTAATTTTCCAATAAAAAACATCCAATTAACATATCAAATCATAATCCAAAAAAAAGTTCTTAACCCAAGGTACTATTTCTGGGTTAGCAGAGTCTGTAACCTGAAGCGTCTGTAACCCGAGGTACCACTGTATGCACAAGTTTGCATGATAAAAGAAATATGTGGAGTTTTCCCCCGCTGTGAGAAGCAAGTTAATAATAAAGGCACAAGATTTTTCTAGCTAATTTCTGCCAGCCACGCAGCAGAACTGCAGACAGGACGTTTACAAAATCAAACAGTTTAAAAAAAAAAAACATTCTGGTTTGCATCAAGATTAGGAGTGTGAATTAGCCACCCTTTAGCACATCCCAACAGTAGCCACGAAATTAAAAGACGCCTGCTTCTTGGGAGAAGGGCAATGACAGGCCTAGACACCATCTTGAGAAGTAGAGACGTCACCTTGCTAAGAAAGGTCCGTATAGTTAAAGCCATGGTTTTCCCAGTAGTGATGTATGGAAGTGAGAGCTGGACCATAAAGAAGGCTGATCGCCGAAGAATTGATGCTTTTGAATTATGGTGCTGGAGGAGACTCTTGAGAGTCCCATGGACTGCAAGAAGATCAAACGCATCCATTCTGAAGGAAATCAGCCCTGAGTGCTCACTGGAAGGACAGATCGTGAAGCTGAGGCTCCAATACTTTGGCCACCTCATGAGAAGAGAAGACTCCCTGGAAAAGACCCTGATGTTGGGAAAGATGGAGGGCACAAGGAGAAGGGGACGACAGAGGACGAGATGGCTGGACAGTGTTCTTGAAGCTACAAACATGAGTCTGACCAAACTGTGGGAGGCAGTGGAAGACAGGAGTGCCTGGCGTGCTCTGGTCCATGGGGTCACGAAGAGTCGGACACAACTAAACGACTAAACAACAACAAAGCACATCCCAATTGCCATAAAACAAAAACACGCACAGAAACCAATCCTTCTAAAAGATGCAAGGTGAGCTGCAAGCGAATATTCAACAGGGAAGAAATTTTAATAATTATAATGCAGCATTGTGATCAAGAATACAGAAGCCTTCCCAACTGCACTCTCTCGGCACCCGTAAACACAGCTCTCTAAATACGGATGCTGCCTTCGTGGCCCGGACTCCGCCTCCTTTGCGTTATTTCTATGCGCGCAGCTCCAGGCTGTTACGTCATCTACCCCTGTTCTGCCCCCCTTAAAAAAAAGATAAAGGAAAAAATGAAGACTGACACACAGCCTCCACTTCCGGTCGCTGCAGCCTTCCCCTCCTGGGTTGGCATCCCTTTATCTCGGGAGACAAGGGAGGACTGGTGGAAAGTTTGCAGCGCTTGCTGTAGCCGTAGTGGGAACAGATATGTTTTGTGGGGTTCGTCTCGCCCTTCTTTTAAACTGCTTTCCCAGGCGGTACTCGGAAACTCAGCGTGGATTGCCCCTCTCTTCACTTTCCCCCCCTCTCTTATCTCTGCGGCGTCGTTGCACGCGCAGGAATTGTGGGTAACCGGAAAGGAGCACCTCTGCTGAGCAGGAGGAACGCTCAGGCGGCCAATCAGGTTCGCGTTCGGAAAGATGGCGGCGCTCGGGTCCCGAGAGCGCTCTGCGGGGGAGGGAGGCAGCGGCGCGCGGGCGGACTCGGACCTCTTGCTGCACCCGGAGCTGCTCTCGCAGGAATTCCTCCTGCTGACGCTGGAGCAGGTAAGGGGGGCGGGGGCGGGGGCGCGTCGGTTGAAAGGGGGCGGGGCGAGGGAGGGAACCGTTAAACCGCCTCACCTGAGAGAGGCTGCGGAGAGCCGGGCTCTTAAAGCCGGGCCGGATCTCGGGTTGCCAGTTCATACCCTCCAACCTTTCTCCGATGAAAATAGGGACGTCCTGTTCAATCATAATACTGTAATATTGATGATGATTCAAAAAATAATAATGAAGGTAATTCTAATAATAACATATATAATCATTCAACTAACAACAATAGTAATAATAGCAACAACAACACTGCAAATAATAATGATTCAAATAATAATAATAATAATAATTTATTCATACTCCATCAGCCTGGGTTGCCCCAGCCATTCTGGGCAGCGTCCAACGTATATAAAAACACAATAAGACATTAAACATTTTTTTAAAAACTTCCCTATACAGGGCTGCCTTCAGATGTCTTCTAAAGGTTGTATAGTTAAGTTACCTCCTTGGCTCAGGGGTCGCATAACTCCATATCCTCCAATGTTTCTCCGATGAAAATAGGGACGTCCTAAGGAAAAGCAGGATGTTCTGGGATCAAATCAGAAACCGGGACGGCCTTTGTAAATCCAGGACTGTCCCTGGAAAATAGGGACATTTTGAGGGTCTGCCAGTTTAACCCAAAGGAAACCCACCTGCCTTTTAGTACCTGCTAGATGTGGAAGAATCTTCTGAGGAAGCTTTATTCCTGACTTGGAGCATAGTCTGTTCACACCTGAAAAATGTCTGCTGATAAAAGCACAAGAGCAGAGCCCAGGGAGGGGAGAGAAAAACCGGCAACGCTAGGTGCCTTGGAAGCCCTTGTAGCAGCTCCTGCCCTGCAATTATTCCTATGCATGTTTCAGACTATACAGAGTCATAGTGTTGGAAGGGACCCCAAGGGTCATCTAGTCCAACCCCCTGCAATGCAGGAATCTCAACTAGATCATACGTGACAGATGGCCATCTAACTGCTGCTTTGAAACCTCCAAGAAAGGAGAGTCCACCACCTCTTGTGAGAGTCCATTCCACTGTCAAGCACTTAACCGTCAGAAAGTTCTTCCTGTCAGAATCTTCTTTCTTGTAAGTCAGAATCTTCTTTCTTGTAAGTTGAAGCCAGCCCTCTGGAGCAGGTGAAAACAGGCTTGCCCCATCCTCCAGATATTTAAAGGGAGCCATCATATCTCCTCTTAGTCTCCTCTTTACAGAAGCTTGTGGATTCATTTTGAAGATTTTTAAACTCACTTTTCAGGGAACAGTGCCATCACAAAGTTTCTCCAAAACATATGAAAATACCACTGCAAAATATGCACACACACAGCCAACCCAGCAACGGCTGAATATTAACCCCCCCTCCAAAAAAGTACTTTGCAATATCTCCCTGACAGATATTCCTGTCTACGACCATTGTTGTACTCACACTTTACACTTGAAGACTGGTGTTGCATGCCCACACAGCGATAGGTCTATTAGGGGTGCTCCCTTTTTATGGCTTTAACAGCAGCATAATATGAGGGCATTAAGCAGGTAAAACTCTTTACGCTATAGTCAGACTGAGAGGGGAAAAGGCCTATCTGCTAAATTTCTGCATGTTGGACTCTCATTAAAAGCACAGAAGCAGGGCCAGTAAAAGAAGGAACAAGCCTACTTCCAGATAAGTAGTTTACGTCAGCAGTCTCAATCTGGCAGCTATAATATTACAAAAGTGTATGGGTGTACTAGGGAAACTGGCCCTTCAGCTATTACTGAACTCCAGCTTGCTTCATCCCTGACCATGCTGGTTGGATTTGATGGAAGCTGGAGTCCCAACATCTTGAGGGCCACAGACTCCCCACCTTGAATTGTGGGGCACTCAGAGTCTTCAGGCTGAGGGAAGCTGTTGTTTCCACCCCCAACTCTATTTTGCTTCCTTAGGTGAGGTGAACTGTGCATCCTTCGCAGGGTACAGCAAATTTCTATGCATTTCTAACTGTTTTAATGAAGATTACCAAGTTTATTGCAAGTGATGTGATTTTTAAGTGTATTATGTACACTTGTTATCCAGAGAACATTTGCAGTCATAATGAATATGTTTTTTTATTACTCCGCAACAGAAGAACATCCCAGTTGAAGATGAAGTGAAGATCAGTAAAGATGGCCTTACTGATCTCTATGTTCAACATGTCATACCATTGCCTCAACGTGAGTTACCAAAAACTAGATGGGGAAAGTTGATGGAAAAGAAAAGAGGTCAGCAGGTGTTCAAGCATGAGGTCAAAAGGTAATTCTGTTTTGCTTAGTTTGTGGATTCAAACGCAAATCCGTCCTTCCTTATACCAAGTAAAACCATTGATCCATCTAGCTCAGTACTGTATTGGCAGTGGCTCTGCTAGATTTCTGGCAAGGGATTTAACCTTTTATCATGCAACGCATGTGCTCTGCCACTGGGTTTTGGCAAATTTTCCATTCAGAAGGGGGTTCCGTGTTTCTTTTGACCTGTTCCTCCTCGCTCAGTAAGTACAACAATGGTTTTTATTATTTTTTATAGGTATTGGGGCTGCCAGTGGGATGTAGAGAATTATTATTGAAAGCAGTAGCGTAGTCAGCAGTCTGATAAATCCAGAGCGAGAGCAAATTAGATTAAGAACTGGAAAGTACTTTCAGTGGAGTTCATGCAGAACAGAGTATCTAGCTATCAAATAAATCTGCGGAATAAATTCATTAAATGTGTGTGAGATACCACATTTATTTATATTTTGCAAACCTGTCCTATCTCCCCAGCTGTGGCTTCTTGTTTCAAACAGAAGCTGATATGAGTTAACTTTGCCCTGCCTGCCAATCAGAAGATTGGGGAAATGGGTCTGGTCCCATTGAGGATGGGCTTTGATCAGCTGATAGTGGCTCCACTCTGGAAAAAAACAAAAAAACCCAAGCCTTGCACAGTTTTTTTGCAGTAAAGAACATTATCCCAGTACTCAAATGTTGTGAATGATAGCAACACTAGTGCTAAAGCAAGGGATCAATTTCTCTGGATTCTGGGACTTGAGCACAAAATGGTATGCTGCCCGACTCTGAACCATGACTTGGAGACAAGGTATATCATATCTTAATTGCTCTTCTGGCAGGAAAATAGAACCTGAAGGCTTCCTCTATTGAACTCTAGTTTAAATCAATCGAACTTAATTATGCTTAGCTGTGTGCTGGGGCCTTTTGTTATTTTCACTGGGTTTTTAAAAAAAAATTCTAATCATCAGTAACCCGTATCTATAAATAACCGCTATTTAAATGTGTCCTGTTTTTGCTTCTAGAAATAGAGTGTTTCTTCCGAAGTGTCTCAACTATTGCTTCTATCACAACTCTTAATCAAAATGGGAAATAATACATCTATAAATTTGGATTGGTCTATTCATAATACACTGGTCCCTATTAGCAGATTCAGTTTATTTAGGCTGCAATCGCATGCCCACTTAGCTGGCAGTAAAATCCACTGAAATCAGTGGTCTTCTGGGTGGACATACTTGTGATGGGACCATTAAAGAGCATTTATGTAGACCAGGGATGTGAAACCTGTGGCTCTCCTGATGGCGTTGGACTCCCAACTCTCATCAGTCCCAGTCAGCATGGTCAATGGCCAGGGATAATGTGAACAGTAGACCAGTCACATCCTGAGGGCCACAGATTCCCCATCCTTATTGAAGACAGTTGTAAAATCCAAAGAAACTTGGGATGAACTGTAAAGGACCCCTGACCATTAGGTCCAGTCGTGGCCGACTCTGGGGTTGCAGCGCTCATCTCGCTTTATTGGTTGAGGGAGCCGGCGTACAGCTTTTGGGTCATGTGGCCAGCATGACGAAGCCGCTTCTGGCGAACCAGAGCAGCGCATGGAAACGCCGTTTACCTTCCCGCCAGAGCGGTACCTGCACTTATCTACTTGCACTTTGACGTGCTTTCAAACTGCTAGGTTGGCAGGAGCAGGGACAGAGCAATGGGAGCTCACCCCATCGCAGGGATTCGAACCGCCGACCTTCTGATTGGCAAGTCCTAGGCTCTGTGGTTTAACCCACAGTGCCACCCGTGTCCTGTACAAGTCCTAAATTGTTTGACACTAAAGAAGCAGAAATAAAAATGTTTTTTGTTAATTTAGCTGATACCCAACATTTAAGTCCACTGATTTAAATAGGTTTTCTCTGAGTATGACTTCATTTTTCTGACAGTGTTCATTTATTTTTTTAAAGTGTTAATGTTTTCCTGATTGCTCAAGTGAATTAAATGCGAAATAAATGAATATCAGAAAAAAGCAGCAGCAGTGCCATAGCGCACTAGATGAATTCCCAATCTATTTCAGCACCTGACCTGCTGATCTGAACACAAACTCAGATAAAAGTTCCACTGAAGTATATAGGACCCACTTCCAAGTAGTTGTGTTTGGGACAGTGTAAATCTGTAAAGACTGTGGTTTGATTTACATCTGTGCTGCAGTAATTAATATTGTTTCTATGTTACCATTTCTTTGTTCAGCACTGCTCCAGTGGAAAGTCTACGGAAACGACCACTCATTGTGTTCGATGGTAGCTCAACGAGTACAAGCATAAAAGTGAGGAAGACTGAGAATGGGGCTATTGATAGTCTAAAACTCCTTACAGCTAGAAGCGCCAGCACTACTTGTAAGGGACTGACCGTTCCTTCAAATTCTTCAGCTTGTGTGTCTGTCTCCACTTTTTCACCGGACATTAAAGTGGGATCCAGGATTCACGAAGCTAAGCAGAATAATAATATCGTCGATAACAATATGGCACCTGGTCAGAGGTCACCCCCATTGGTGCCTTTAACAGGAACTACTGTTGTGAAATTAAAGAGAGCTGCTCCGAAAGAAGAATCTGATGCATCCGTAAGTCTTTCCACATCTGTTTCCTTTAACCAGATGTAGTTGTTGCCATGTCTCATAGCATAAATGTGAAAGCTGTAGCAGTATTTTGTTATCTCTGAGTTTCTGCAGGTCACTAGGATGCTGTGCACTAATTATTTGAATATTGCCATATATTATACCTTAACACAACTTGTTAAAGAACTGTAAGATGGGCATAAAAGAGTTCCTTTCTAAATTACTTCATCATTATTCCTATGTATATTATGGCCAACCAGTAACATAATTCTCTGACTCAATCTGAAATGTGAGGGTCATTGTTTCGGAATGTGGCAAGCTTCATTTGGCTTTGGCTTTCAACAATGCCTATTTTTCAAGAATATGAGTTCTGTTAGGAATAGATTTTGAAATTAAGATCCTGCTTGATTTCTATGCTATGATTTCACAAGCTAGGTGAAACCCATATCCTGCTGGGGTTCTATGCTCTGCCAACTCACTCACTTGTCTGCATGCCATTTCTTGTTCCCAAAGGTCATTGGGCGAGTGCTTAAACACAAGACTGATCTAAACATTTTCATGCTCATTTCAGAAATGGAATTGGGTTATCTTTTGGTTCTTTCTTTTCTATGTTTAATTACGACCATATTTTTATTTTAGCCACAAGATGGCATCAGAAGCCAAACTCTATAGTATAATATACAAGGTTTGTTTAAATGATTTAGGACAGGCAATTTTAACATCGTTTAAATCTTTCTCCCTCAGAACGGTCTAAAGTCTCCAGAATCGAAAAAGAAGATCCAGCATGTGAAATGGCCATGAACCAATGAGGCGCTGGAAATGTAAATAACATTTAGCCTCCATTTCAGAACAGATGAGTCATATTGAACAGGGTTGCAGATTGCGGTGGATTTTTCATAAGGTTAACAATTCTACAGTACAAAGCAGGCACCATATTCTCACCCATCACCTTAAGGATATTTTCTGTATTGCACTTTGAGTCATTTACTTCCCATTTTAATGGTTGGTTTTGGTGGAACAAAATTATTCTACCAGCCCTCCTTTGGAATTCTCACATGTACTGCAGTTCAGCCTTTGCATGACCTGGTAAGAGAAAAGCAGTGTGCATTTATAACTATTCATGTTCAACTGTACAGCAGTATTGCTTTTCTTTTCTTTTTCGCAAATACAGTTCTCTACACAAGTGTATTTAGACAGTGTGGAAGACTATGTCTCCCCGTTCAACTGGACTTCCCATGGTAATAGTGGCTTTTGCACAAAGTTCTGTTGGCAGGGCAAGAAAAATATTTTGAATTCTTAGGTGCTGATACCAAGTGTCTAGATGTCTTTTCCAGCCTTGTTATGAGATGGTTACCTCTTACAGACATAGGAAAAACACTGAACTGTGTAATTTCTTTGCTTCAAATTGAAGTTCTTGTTACAATTGAAGATGAATTTCTGTTGTCTTTTGAGCAGATGGAAGCACATGATAGACTGTATACGGAGAGTATTTGAGAGAAAAGTAGTGCATGAACTAGTGCCATGCTTTTGTACAGTACATGCATAAGTATTTTTTCATAAAATACATGAACCTTTGTGGTCGATTTAACTTGCCTGCCTACAAAATGCCTGCTAAAATTCTGGAGAAAAGCTAACACTCCACTCATTGGGGCAGTTTGAATAGAGGGATAAATTATACGGAGAGTAAACAATTGTGGTTTGTGAAGGAAGAAGTCTTGCCTATTTCCTATCTGTGAATAAATGTGGATTTCTTTGAAACCACATGGATCCTCTTTCATATGATGTAAAACTCAACCTAGCTGGGTATAATAGTTAGAATTGCGTACCATACACAAAGTAGTGTCCAGTCAAATTCAGGCTGCCATCCTGTACATGCCTACCACAGAATATGGACTTAGTGGTATTTACTTCTGAGTAGACATGGTTATAACTGCATTATTGGTGCACGACTTCCACTAGATCATGATCAAAGATTTGGAAAGAATGGTGTGTTTGAGGTGTATTTTGAGTTTCCCTCTTCCTGAACACATGTGCAAGTTTTGTACTTTAGTACAGCACAGTTTAATTTTGTGTGTTTTGTATCTGAGCTGTCTTTTTAGTAGCCTCACCTGATTTAAATAAATTGATTTAAACTGACGATGTATTAAATTGTGTGGACCATCTCTGGAGACAAACACCTGTTATCCCAGTCTTCAAAAGGGTTTGAGGAAACTGTACACTGGTCCAGGGGTCACCAGCCCAACACCCATCGGTGCCGTGGTGTGTGCAGAGGCCTTCATTGGCACCCTCAGGCAGGGGTCCCAGATTCTGACCTTTCATTAAAAAAACCCACTAGCACTTTAAAAAAGAAATGTGTAGAAGAAACCATTCTAAGCAATTTCTGCGAAATGAGCCAGCCTATCCCGCCTATCAGTGTTTCATCCAGCGAGTGACAGAGCTGCGATAAGTCACTTGTTTGGACATCAGGCAATTAACACTCTGGGGTCCTAAAGATATAACCCAATTTTGTTGTTGGAAAGAAATCTAAAAACTTTGAATTCTCCATTTGTTTTATATGCAAGCATCCCCTCACTTATGCGGTTCTGGGCCCTCATGTGTGTTGTGTGTTAGTGAAATCATGTAAAGTGGGGAGGCCTCTCTAAACACTCTTTAAGTGCAGTCTTTGCTGTGCTCTCTTCAATTCATACTAAAAATACTGGATCCCAAAATAAACCACAACTAGAATCAAAGCTCTGGGCCGCCTGGAGGATACACAGGTAAATGGCTTCTGTCTCTGCCCTACCCTGCACATGATGTGTTAGGCAGGGAGGCTGAGCAGCCTAAACAAAGCCCCACTGTGCCTCAGGTCCCTTTGGGGCTTCCTCTGCCCTCACCAACATCCTCTTCAGGCTCCGGGGAGGGTCTCCTCATGAGCCACGAGGACTCCAGCATTTTCCTGCCATGTCCGGGTTTGATTGAATTATTAAATTATGTCTCAGTGCCTTGCATATATGTGGTCACAGGTGAGTCGATCAGGGGTGTGGGTGCGTGCCCGTACTTGATTATTGGCTTGGCTACATTATTCTTTAACAGCATATTTGATCTGCAGAGCCGCACATTCTCAGTACTGCAAAACTGGTTTTGGTGTGGCGCATTGTCCTCCATCCTTGCAGGATGCGTTCAAAATAAGCAGGTCCTCTCTGTCTTCCCCATGCTCCAACACCCTGTTTGAAGAGATATTTTTCAAAAGTTGGCTGCACCAAAGACGAAATGGGTAGTGAACATGGAAGTACAGTGGTACCTCGGGTTACATACGCTTCAGGTTACATACGCTTCAGGTTACACACTCTGCTAACCCAGAAATAGCGCTTCAGGTTAAGAACTTTGCTTCAGGATAAGAACAGAAATCGGGCTAAAGCGGTGCTTCAGGTTAAGAACAGTTTCAGGTTAAGAACGGACCTCCAGAACAAATTAAGTACTTAACCTGAGGTACCACTGTAGTAAAAAAAAATGCTTTTCACTTTTAAGTCAGTGGGATCATTCTCACAGATCCCAGAGCGTATCTGTCCTGCAGCCAACCAAATGAAGCACAAACGATGTGGGTTTTCATTTCCCTGTCATGAAGATGGTGAGGAGAAAGCAGTATTCGCAACCCCAAGTACTTGTTGAGAAGACCATTTCTTTGCTCCTGTGTTGCCTTTTCTGATACAGCAATGAGAGATTTTCAAGCATTTTAAGATCATTTGCTTGATATCATTCTAAACAGATTGCGTTAGTGGGCAGCACATCGTAAACCTTGTCAATACCCAAGACACGTGGTTGCCACCAACAACATCCATTCATTACCGTGTTTGATGAAATGCAAAAAGCAGCTGCTACCGATTCATACCATCGAAGGAAGCTGCAGGAGCAGTGCTCTTGGCATTAGTAAGGTGAACTTTATATTTTTTTGAAAGTAGCAGCACAGTTCCTCCCCCCCACCCCCAAGGCTTCATCTCATGGTGCCTTTCATGCAGAGACCATGACATATATTGTGGCACACTGCATAGCAAGCATCACATTACATTGCTCTGCAGTAGGACTGTACCTCTCGCTGAGCCATCGGTACAGAAGTTTACTATGTTATCTTAGAACATGGATAGACAAACTAAGGCGCAGAGGTCAGATCCAGCCCAATCGCCATCTAAATCCGTGGACAATCCGGGAATCAGTGTGTTTTTACGTGAGTAGAATGTGTCCTTTTATTTAAAATGCATCTCTGGGTTATTTGTGGGGCATAGGAATTTGTTCATTTCCCCCCAAAAATATAGTCCAGCCCCCCACAAGGTCTGAGAGACAGTGGACCAGCCCCCTGCTGAAAAAGTTTGCTGACCCCTGTCTTAGAACCTATGCAAGAAGTTAAGTCCATATATTCCAGCAACTTCATGAGTGGCAACGACTGTGCTTCTTCCCAGAATTGGCCTCAGGTTCTGCACAGGAGCATGTGAGAGAGGGCAACAAATGCCAACAAAGGCTAATGTGAACATGGTCTTTGACACAAAGTAGTTTGGCCAATAGGGGAATTGATTGTAAATGGATTATGACAGTGATTAAACATTAGCTTATCAGATTATCAGCTTGTCAATGGCCTGAAGATTTGCTTCTAAATTCTCAACCTTATTAATGAATAAATGGCTATATAACTACTTAAAGGTAACAGTGCAATCCTACACACGTTTGTTCGGTGCTCTTGCCTTGACATTTTTAAAAAGAGCTATAGATTGGTCATAGTAAGGGAACTTTGGTTGTCAGGCTCCGTATAAAGATAACAATTGGAATAATCTCTTGGGTGGGTGAAGTTAAGAGGTATGTATTCCTGGTAGAAAAAGATTCCCTCTGGGGAAAATAAAGTTGTTAAATAATGTTATGTATGCTTTCATCTGGGAAATAGGGAAAAAAAGAAGATCAAGATTGATTTGGGGTTTCCATTATTTGTTTTGTTCTAGAGCCTGCCTTGAATTCCTCAGCAGCAACTATATGTGATGAGTGGCTTCCATGACTGGTAGAAATATACACAGAACTTCTGTGTCGAAGTTTAATATTTGGCTTGGGGAGAGAGTTCAAGCTTTTACGGTCTTCTCTTAAGAGTATATATGGATTTTAAATCTTCTGCATTAATCGCTGGAGAGCTTATGTTTTTATTGTAGAAAAGAACCAACATATGCCAGAAATTGATTTACATAATTCTTCCCCGAAAATTATAATTTGCCTGAAAAGACTAACATTATAAATAATTATGCCCTGCACACTTTTTGAGATGTTTCCCCTATAGTGTTTGAGAGATCTTAAATCTGAATTAATATCCTGACTGTTTGAAAAGCAGAAAATATTCTGTCACTGATCCATATACAGTCATACCTCGGGTTACAGACGCTTCAGGTTGCACATTTTTGGGTTGCACAACGCGCCGAACCCAGAAGTACCGGAATGGGTTACTTCTGGGTTTCGGCGCTCGCGCATGCACATGAATACTAAATCGCGCTTTGCGCATGTGCAGAAATGCTGAATAGCGACCCACGCGTGTGCAGACGCAGCGCTGTGGGTTGCGAACGTGCTTCCTGCACAGATCACGTTCACAACCCGAGCATCCACTGTATACATTTTCTTTGGACCTGTTTTCAAGAGATAAAATGAACCCCATGTTTTCATAAAGTGGACAAACTATCTACCTAATATAATTGGACACAAAGTGAAAATGAATGTACTGCAGTAGTAGGAGCTGACTCCTAGCTACCTTATCCTTAAGCTAGAAAGATAAAGCCTTCTCAAGCCCTACTAATAGTTATGCATCACAGTATAAATCTGAGGAAGCTGCAATCTCATCTGCCTCTTGCTTATTTATGATTTCAGAATCTGTCTTGATCAGAGCCTGAAGTTACTGATTGCGAAAGTATGATGAACAGCAGACACTGGAGCAATATTGTACAAGCACTGCAGATACACTACTGGAAATACCTGGAACAGGAATGTAGCTGCTCTTAATTTCCATGATTGCCTAATATTTCAGAAAATAAGGGCAATTTTCTGTTTGTACCAGTAGCAGCCAGTGATTGGGCTGTTACTTTCTGAACATATAGTGCTTCTCGTTTTTTAATGGCCTCACTGAGATTTGGGGTTTGGTTTTGTTGTTTATATCGATCCATCCTTTTTAAATAAAAGGAGTTTATCCACGCCTTACCTCAAATGCTAACATTTATTGAAAGTTAAGTCTTTAAGATGTCAGCTTCACCAAAATACAGCAGACTTCATTAGAAATCCGTTTATTACTTCATAAAATACAAGGTGCAATGGAATTTCAAAACGAGTACTAAAACCGAAAATGTACTTTGCAAAATGGCCTTGCAATATCATGCAATAATGTGTTGCGGATTCACATCAATTTAAACCTCATGCAGTCTGTTCCTGTGTACATTTATGTCGAAGCACGTTCCAATCAGTTTAATGGGAGTAATTCCAATGAAAGTATGCATAGAATTGTAGCCTCAAAGCCCTTATTTTAAGGCATAACCTAAAACTTTTATCTAACTTTCTATCACTGATTGAACCAACATACCCTACTTTCAAATTATCACCTACTTGGACATGATGAACATTGATACTTGATCTATCAATACCAAACAGTAGCTCCTGTAATCTTTCCAGAATCCCCAAGTCGAATATGTTATCAGTTTTAAACTACATGCATGTTTTGAAGAGAAATTTGTATTGCTAAGAATGTAACAGCCCTGTTGAATCAAACCGAAGGCCCAGCTACATCAGCACCCTGTGTTGTGTGGTAGCCAAGCAGATTATTATGGGAAGTCCACAAGCAGGGTATGAGCTAAATTAGGGTTGCCATATTTCAAAAAGTGAAAATCCAGACCCAAAAGCTGTTGAGCTCTGCTCTTTTTGGCAAAGTTGTTGAGTTGTTGAGCTTTTCCCCCACGAAATCTCAACAACAACAACAAATGCGTTTTTGAGCTATTTTTTAATTAAAATTGCCTAAATCTACACTACCAACATGGGCTGCCATATGTCCAGATTTTCCTGGACATTTAAGCAATTTCCGCCTGGACGCTGCTTAAGGGGGATGAATGCTGGCTATGTCTGGAAAATTCCAGATGTTGGGCAACGCTATCTCAATACCACACTTCCTGTTGTGTTCTCCAGCACCTGGCAGTCAGAGTCCAGACTGTCTCTGAACCCGGAGATAATAATCAGCCATCTTCACTGGTAGCTTTTATCCTCTAAATATCTGAGCAACTCACAACTCCGTATTTGAACTGGACTCGATTCATAAATGTATTGCCTAGCAGTCAATGTCAAAACCACCTCCCCACCCTTTTGTCTTTCCCTTCTCTAAAGCATTTCTACAACCTAGAAAAAGAAAAAGAAATCCTGATGAATATATATTGTAGGGGGGAAAACCCAAACACGTTTTTCACTTCTGGTCAAAACCCACAGCCGTCATTGCTTATTTGAGAAAATAAATGCCCTTGTGAGAGCTGATGGTGGTGGTTTTATTCCTTTCACATTTTAAATGTCCTTCCCACACTCAGGACACAGGATGTCATCCCTTTCTGTGAGGAAACCGCGACCCACCAACGACAGGGAGCACTTCTTGCAGTTGAAGCAATCGTTGTGCCACTGGCGTTCCTCAAAGGAGATGTACTTGGTTCCGCCAAGTCCTGAAAAGGCAAAACAAGTATTTAAGAAGAAACACAGGAACACCTTCTGTAAGGTCATTTGGGTCAGATTCCCACATCGTTTCCAGTTGTGAATAAACTTCCTTGGACTTAAACATGTGGGAAAGTTGCACTTAAACACATCATTAATGATGATGATGATGATTATTATTATTTATACCCCGCCCTCCCCAGCCAAGGCTGGGCTCAGGGCAGCTGACAAGCAATAATAAAAACAAGTTGAATGAATACAACTTAAAAACAAGATTAAAATACAACATTAAAATATTGAAGCATTAAAATATTAAAATGCAGCCTCATCACAGGAGGAGAAAGGAAAAAGAAAAAGAAAGAGGGGGGAGGGAATCAAATTGGCTCCAAGCCAAAGGCCAGGTGGAACAACTCTGTCTTACAGACTCTGCGGAAAGAAATCAGATCCTGCAGGGTCCTGGTCTGAGGCAGAGCATTCCACCAGGCCGGAGCCAGTGTTGAAAAGGCACTGGCTCTGGTTGAAGCCAATCTAACTTCCTTAGGGCCCGGGACCACTAGGGTGTTGTTATTTATGGACCTTGAGGCTCTCCGTGGGGCATACCGGGAGAGGCGGTCCCGTAGGTACGAGGGTCCTAGGCCGTGAAGGGCTTTAAAGGTCAAAAGCAGCACCTTAAATCTGACCCTGTACTCCACTGGGAGCCAGTGCAGCTGGAAAAGTACTGGGTGAATATGCTCCCATGGGCAGAGACCCGTGAGGAGCCTCGCTGCAGCATTCTGCACCCACTGGAGTTTCTGGGACAGCTTCAAGGGCAGCCCCACGTAGAGCGAATTACAGTAGTCAAGCCTGGAGGTGACCGTCACATGGATCACTGTGGCCAGGTCTTAAATCATTGACATCATTGACATCACAGCTGAGTCTGCATGCAGAATTCTAGATTCCTGTCAGTCCCTAGATCAGAGATGAGGAACCTGTGGCCCTCTAGGAAAAGCAGCAAATAAAAAAAATGAACGAATGAATTTTATTCTGAACTGTCTGATGCTGTTTTTGAGGTGCTTTTTTCTGTTTGCAAAGGCAAACGGTAACACGATACTTACCACTGATTGGATTGGTGCATCCTGCACACTTCTTGGCATAGAGGCTGCAGTAGCAGTTCAAACAGTAGGCAAACTCATCCCGGGAAGTGAAGCGTTGCCCAGAGAGCTGTTTTTTGCACCCGGTGCACACAAAACACTCCTTGTGCCACGGCTGCTCCCGGTAAGTAATTCCTCCTGTAGTAATTGGCTGTGAAATGAAAAGAAAAATGGGAATGAAAAAGAAAAGAAAAAAGGAATTCCTATTGATTTTGTGCCCCATTTCCGTTCACCTTGCAAATCTTTTAAGCAAGAGGCAGCAGAACTAGTCTCATGCTTAACCCCTCACACCTTTTCTGCGAAGCCCCTGACAACCTTCTTTGTTCCCGTGTCTTTCTGTCTTTTAGCTAAGCCAAAACACGCATGACTTCAAAGCATTGCACAGCCTTATATAGTTTAATGCTCTGGAACATGTTGGCGCAAAAGTACATGCAAAACTGGTTTGCAGTTTTGCTCTGAACTAAAGCAGACAATCAGCCCTGAGTGCTCACTGGAAGGACAGATCCTGAAGCTGAGGCTCCAATACTTTGGCCCCCTCATGAGAAGAGAAGACTCTCTGGAAAAGACCCTGATGTTGGGAAAGATGGAGGGCACAAGGAGAAGGGGAAGACAGAGGACGAGATGGTTGGACAGTGTTCTCGAAGCTACCAGCATGAGTTTGACCAAACTGCGGGAGGCAGTGGAAGACAGGAGTGCCTGGCGTGCTCTGGTCCATGGGTCACAAAGAGTCGGACACGACTAAATGACTAAACAACAACAAAGCAGACAAATGTGTGTGTGTGTGGGTTGCTTTCGGTTTAATAGTCATTTGCACGAAGCAATAAACAGTACCTTCTTGCACTGGATACACTGCATAGCAAACTGCTTTTCGTAGCAGGGCACGCAGAAATTTTGACTGTCTTTGGGAATGAAACTCTTTGTTCCGATTGGCTGTTGGCACCGATGGCAGATAAAGCAGGTCTCATGCCAGCTGTTTCCTTTATATTCCATCTTGCGGGTACCTAGGAGGAGACCACAGCATGAGATTTCTACCTTGGCTTTCAAGCTGCTGTGGTAAAGGGAAAAGGTAAGTAGAAACTCTGTTCCATTTTCCAGTTTGCATATGAGGAGAAGCCGGACATACTTTTAGCAGAAACTTGTTTTTTGTGGGAGCAGCAAAAGTATAAATTCCTGCAGCTATTACACTCCTCGGATCCGTTCTGATGCTTAAGATGTGCAGGTGAGCTGTGTGAAGAGTCCCTTATCGAGTGACTCTCTCAATAGACTATGAAAACAATTCAGATTGTGGGGTTTTGTGGCCTTTCATCAACATTTACTAGTGAGCTTTGCTCAGGGTGAAACACTCCTTTCTCCTAGTTTTGCTTTCCTTTCATCCTTTCCTGTTGTTCCCTTCTTGGGGGCTGACATCAGTTCCACCTCTCAGCACTGGAGAAAGATTCTAGCTTTTTTGGGTTGTGCAAAGTGGAATTTGGCACCTTCGTGCCCTTGTTGATGCAAAATACCAAGACGCCAATGAGACTGGTCCTTTGGTGTTTCTCTCGAGAACTGAGTAGAGGTCAATCTCTTAAAGCTGCTGAGAAAATTTCCAAGTACTGAAGAGACTGCCCTCACCAAAGTGGAAAACCTCATCATGCTGCTCTAGCAGAGGGCAACTGAAGATGGCCATTCCCCCAAAACAAGGACTGAACTCTGTAGCTCCTTCCTGGTTACATTCTGATCCAAATACAACATGCACTTACTGCATCTTATATTTGTGTCTTCTTTTTTCTGATTAATGGATATCCTCATAACAGAGGGTCCTGGTTGCGCTCAGGACCCAAGAGCTCACCTGACAGGGTTAAAATGGTGGGGGGGGGGGAGGAGCAGGAAGTCCTGGCCATTCCCCTGGGATCATGCCAGGCTGTTTTAGCCAATAGCCAGTAGGTGGCCTGATCCCAGGGCCTTTAAAAGCAGCAGTGTGATGCAAGTGGGGCACTTGCATTTGCACGGCTCAACACCCACCCACCCACCCTCCCTAGTTTAGGTAGAGTTGCTTGGCCTTGCTTTGGTTTGGGTCGCCTGTTTTGGAACAGGGGCTGGGTAGGAATTTTTTCCCATTTGGCAGATTGGCTTTTAGCCATTTGGTTTTCGCCTACCCCCTTAGCAAATCGTCACAACTTGTAAGGTGGCGGTTAGGCATTGGCTCAGTTGGATTGTGGGGAGGGGAGGTGCGGCCATCACCTGCCCCTCCAGGAATTGGGTATTCTGTTAAAGGAATCTGGGGTCCTGGATCTCGTCCGAAGTCCGCTTGCGGGGCTAGGGCCATGCCAGAACCACAGGAACCCCGGAGTGAGCTTAGGTTGGTCCTCATCGACCTTGCTCCCTCGTTTGGTTTACCCCATTGAACGATCACCCTGAGAGGTGGAGTCTGTTATAGTGGGGAGTCAATGCCTAAGCCAATACCGCTCACGTGATTGTATTTCAATAAAGTTGTGGCCAAAATTTGCCCCAAAACTTAAACTAATATAAGTGTCTGTGTGTATTTATTTTGGGGGTGGGTCTTGGGGCCTCGAGACGCAATTGTCTAATGATTACCTAAGCCTCTCTGACTTTCTAGGTTCTGTTACAAATGCTTACAACCAGTTTTTCCTCTAGTTCTAGTTCCTCTAGTTCCACCCATTTTGACCCTGGCTGTAAAAAGAGACTTGCTAGAGTAAGTCAAACCAGTTGGGCATGTGTAAGCTTTGCGGAAAGGGTTACAACGATTAAAAAATGCAATATTAAAAAACAGTAAAAGCAGATGACAACCAAGAGCACAGAATGTGTTCTAAAATATATCTCGGGTGTCAAAAAGAGGTCAGTGGGGAATCTTCAGCAGATGATGAAAGTTACACAATAAAGGTGTCCCATGCTCCTCATGGGGAGGGAATTCCACAGCTTAGAAATTGCCACAGAGAATGTCCTTGCACAAGCCACGCACACCCCGGGTTTCTGAGTGCAATGGAACTACCATGTTCAATGAATGGGCTGTCTGAAAAGACCATGTTCTGAATTTTTCTCGCAAATACAGGAGACATCTCATTTTCACGTATGGATTCCCCTAATGTGAGCACATGCTCATTCATTCAGTGGTTGACTTTGGGCTCTCAAACTTCAGTGGTGTCCTATGCAATGGTTAAATTCAACACAGCATTTTTGTGTGTGTCCCCTGCATCATGGCGCCCAGCGTGACAGCACTTAGTTGAGTCCACCCTAAAACCACCTCCTATTCATTCCCTCTCTGGAAACAAACCAGAGCAGAAGAAGCCCAGGCCAAAACGAAAGACGAATTTTCTGCATTTAAATATTTCAAGCACACCTTGTGGGGTCTTTGAAAAGCCAACGTTGAAGGGCATCCTTGTTAAATCAACCACATTATTGTTGGGCGGCAGTTTAAAGGTAAAGTGCCATTACCTCTGTATGATTTTCCAGCAGCTTTCAGTGATATTAACATCATTTATCAGATGGGAGGATTTGTCCCTCTTAGAGTGTGCGCTACATGGAAAGAGACTTAAAAAATTATTAAGTGAGCTCTAATTGGCATAAAAGCAATGTAGCAAATGTGTTAACAGATTATTATCTTGCTCTATGACATTTTAAATGGTTTTTCACATCTTATCAGTTTATTAATGTGCTATATTAATAAAGCTATAATTATGCTACGTTTAGTGCTTATGTGATTTTTTTTATAAAAAAAAAAGAATTAGGTAGAGTTGAGAGCTAAAGTGTTGATCCCTAAAGGAATGAAAGGATGCCCTATTAAACAAAGTAGATCTGATAACTAACAGAGCTGGGCGGCTTCACAAGTTCCCATCTTTGAAGTACTGCTGAGATGTTTTCAGTTCTTATTCCATCCCTACTACGAGGGTATAATTTTATTGCATTCTGTTTGGACCACTGCAACCTGCTTAGATCAGACATTGCAACAACATCTGCACATCTATGATGCACTTGTCAGCCCACATTGCACAAGCCAGCAAGAGCTATTATACTACCACATTTAATATACCACACTGGAAAATCCAGAGCCTGTAGCATCTGCCTTTCCTATGCAGAAAGGGGTCATGTTTCATTCATTTCTACTATTATATTTATTACATTGCATTGCATGCTGTAAGCACACTGTGCAGACATGCACTATGAAGTTGCATCTGGATGGATTTGAGTGTATAATTATTTCCGTAATTTCTGTTCTGTTTAATTATACGAGGCGATATCTAGAGTTACTCATGCTCAGAGTAGATAAATGGGCTTAAAAACATTGATTTCAGTGATTTCTGATGGTAGGATTGGAGGAGGACCTCAGTTCAGCAGGGCTACCACCGTGGCTCCCCCCCCCCGACGGAACTTGCCAGAACTCAGTTCTGGCACCTCTCAGGTGGGCACCATTTTAGAAGAACAAGGGAGAAGTTCATGGTGAGTTCCGGCACCTCTTTTTCTATAAAAATAGCACTGGCTACCATGGTCCTTTTATAGTTGCCAGACTCTGTGCAGAACAGTTCTGATGGTACAAGATTAGTCTGTGATACATGTGTCCTCAGCTGATTATATATACATATATTTTAAAAACCCTCACATTTTTTAATGCTGTGTGTGTATGTGTGTGTGTGTGTGTGTGTCATCGTCATCTTTTTTATTTTTGGCTGGGGTCTCAAAAGCTGGAACTGGCCTGGGTCTCTCCAGACCTTTGAGAGGGCCTGCCAATCCCCACCCCTCAACATCTGCTGCCTGATGTGGCCACCTCACTTTGCCCAATGGTAGGGCCAGCCCTGCTGCCAGGGACTGGACTGAGGAGGAATGGTGGGGGCCGCTGCCCCTTCTCCTAAACCTTCCCGAGGACAGGAGGACAGCATAGATTTAGAACAGTGGTTTGCAGAAGGTCATAGTTCAGAGACTGCAGAGGATAGAAGCTGGGAAATACTGGAAGAGGAACAGCAGGAAGAGGAAACACCAGGGGAGAGATAGCTGACAGACGCAGTGTCCTTTGAAAGCATTCCTGACTCCTCCCCCAACCTAAGGAAAGGCGGGCATTGAGGGTAGTAGAACAGAAAGCTCAGCTGCAGAAAGCTCAGATTAGCCAATGTAGTGGTGATGCAGAATAGTAGAGACGGAGAGAAGAAGAAGAGTTTGGGTTTGATATCCCGCTTTATCACTACCCAAAGGAGTCTCAAAGCAGCTAACATTCTCCTTTCCCTTCCTCCCCCGCCAACAAACACTCTGTGAGGTGAGTGGGGCTGAGAGACTTCAGAGAAGTCCCAAGGTCACCCAGCAGCTGCATGTGGAGGAGCTGGGAAGCGAACCCAGTTCCCCAGATTACGAGTCCACCGCTCTTAACCACTACACCACACTGGCACACTGGAGGGGGTGAGACTTTTCTTGAAGCAACACCATTTCCAGAGAGAGACACATTCTTTTGTCTCTCCCTTTGATTGTTGAATAAACTCTTCTATTCTTTTATCTGCTTCTTCGCTGCCACCGGGGGAGGGATCTGATTTCCTGAAGCCTGACACCCGCCTGCTAAAGGTGTTTCCTTTTCCTCGTCCAAATCATGTCATGCAGGTTCCGTTTCAAAAGCGAACACTAGCAGCCATTTAAAACATGAAAACCAGAGTCCTTGCAGATAATTCCCAGATGATAAAGGGCGCCTTTTGTGGACTCTGGGGTATGCTTTTAGGCAAACACTTGTGTCCCCCCCCCCTGCATCTCCCAAATGTGTGGTTTCATTTAAGCCTTGAATCAAGCCTCTGTAATCTCCGCAAGCGCTTTAACACACCACCTAGGCCATTTGCCATTATACATAGCAGGGTTGGCAGGGAGACCTGTAGCTAATGCAAAATTGCAGCGGATTTTGGTCATCTGCTTTGAATGTAGCTGCATAGTTGTGGTTTCTGCTTTCCTCTCTTGTAACCCAAACCTCTCTAATTTTAATGTCATGGCTAATCAAGCATAAAAATTAATTTGAGGATAAGCGACACAAGAGGCAATTCAAAAAGTTTTTTTTTTACTAGTGATCATCTGCTGATTACACATCGACTTCCTGACTCATAAAAAACTGGTTTTCCCCTGCCTTCTATTTTCAGCACAGCCATCAGACTCTGCCAGCAAAAACACCCGTATCAGCCAAGCTATTGCATTCTATTCAGCAAGTAAAATCAAACCACGTTTAATTGGGCTTTGAATCCACGATTCAGGATGTTGGGAGGCTGCTAGTTTGGGGGCAGTGAAACCTGAGCATGAAGCATGCTCAGCTTCCAGGGTTTCAGAGAGTGCCTTTTTCTGATTTTCATATAAAAGCAGATAAACTGCATGCCTTCTGATAGCCCCAGTTAAAAGTCAGAAAGTCAGGGAAAAAACCCTGCTGCTTAAAAATAATAATTATGTACTTAATTTTCAAAGTATGGAGAATACGTCTTGCCTCCAGGTAAGCTTTTTCATTTATATTAAAATTTATGAAACCTTTATTTTTATTTTTTTTTAAAGTAACGGGTCTTTGGGTTGCTTCCAGTATTCCTCTGCAATCAATGTAGGGCATTATCTACTTCACAGACTTAAGCAGTAGCAACAAACTGATACAGTGGTGCCCCGCAAGACGAATGCCTCGCAAGACGAAAAACTCGCTAGACGAAAGGGTTTTCCGTTTTTTGAGTCGTTCCGCAAGACGAATTTCCCTATGGGCTTGCTTCGCAAGACGAAACATCTTGCGAGTTCTTGCGAGTTTGTTTCCTTTTTCTTAAAGCCGCTCAGCCGTTAATAGCCGCTAAGCCGTTAATAGCCGCTAAGCCGCTAATAGCCGTGCTTCGCAAGACGAAAAAACCGCAAGACGAAGAGACTCGCGGAACGGATTAATTTCGTCTTGCGAGGCACCACTGTATAATGAAGCACAACCAGCCAAGATTCAGGGATTTCATTATCAGGATCTATCTCCTGCATTTTTAAAATGTTAGAAGCACGAGCGCTTGAGCATCTCCTCCTGCCCCATCACCCTGGCTTACAGAAATGAGATTGTGGAAGAGCCTCCCATTGGTCTTGAATTCGGTCCCCAAAAGACACTCCCATCCCCGTCCTGAAAGCGGACCAAGTCCTAACCTGGCATGATGGTCTTCTTGCACTCACTACACTTGGAGGAGTATTCATTGGAGTAGCATTCCGTGCAGAGAAGATGTTCTTCTTTTGCTGCGAAAGGTTTGTCCACCAGCGAGTTCTTGCACTGGAAGCAGTGGAAGCAAGTTTCGTGCCAGTGCCGGTCCTTGTAGGACAGATCCTGTAGAAATCCCAAAGCACAAAGGAGGCTTAGTAAAGAGCTTACTAAGAGAAATGGAGGAGAATTTACTCAGACTATGACTAGGTCAGGGCTACTGAGGTTATTAATATTGCAGTTGGGTGAGTAGAAACGGAGTCTTCTTTGAAATAAATATTATCCAGTCCAAATATAGGGTTCAAAAGCTTCACTTACAGAACTTCAATTCCAAACAACTTAAAACAATTGCAGTTAAGTTCAGCTAGTTGCAGGATTTTGTATACTGCTCCCAGCACACATACTTGCATACCGTTAATGATCTGCCCCCCCAGTTTTTAAGAAAAGTTCGTTTATTATTCCTTATTATAACAAACCAACCAACCCACCAAAGGGGATATTCATTAAAGAGTATTTAATGGCACACTCCCCCCCTCAAATAAACCAAATGCAAGCCCTGAAACACAGAATATGTCGCTATCAGAACTGCCCAGTGACTCTCGAGCAAAAGAGTAATATCAATTCTTTGTTTAGCACTGAAAATTCAACAACTTTCCTTTGCAGGAAATTACCTCACATAATCCTGATAGTATCTCTGGAAAGGAATTTTTATGGAAAACAACAACTTGGAGCCAAATGGAATATGTGCATTGTGCAATGTCCCTTCAGTTATCTGAAGAAGTGTGCATGCACACGAAAGCTCATACCAAGAACAAACTTAGTTGGTCTCTAAGGTGCTACTGGACATTATATATATATATAATCTCCTGCTATGAAACAATGGCAGTTTGTGAAAACTTAGGTGTATAAAAACGATCAAGTTCCTTTCTTTGCATTTGCTGTCTTCTGCATTTTTCTTCCTTCTCATTTTCTTTTTGCCTCCCTCTGTTTGTCTACCAAAGTAGTAGCATCTTTTTTTAAAATACAAAATTCAAGAAAAGAAAGCCCCATCTGATTACTGTTCCCTTGATAGGAATCTTTTAGGGATTTAGCCTTCTAATTTCCTGCTGAGCTGTGTGGGCAAATAAAACCATACTTCCACGTGCAGAAGCCGGCTGAACTGGTCCTTGAATCTTACTTCAGCAACGGTGATGGGATAATGTCCTCCTTTGAACCCGAGGCAGCAGGCTAGTTGGAAGGGGGGCAAGACATGTTGCACATAGCACACACAGGCATGTCCTCTGATGGAGGAGAATGGCAGAGCAGCTTAGGAAGGACAGACAGGAGGGCTATGGCTACTGCCTCTCAGCTTCTGCTGCCTGAGGCGGTTGCCTCACTTTGCCTAATGGTAGGGCTGGCATAGACTTCCTTGGGACTTAGGTATGCATAACTGTATAACGGACTATGAACTTTCAAGGGATTTCAAAATACAGTTTGCAGGAGGGTCTGCTGATGAAGACACTTATAAAGCAAGTTTTGTGTCCTGCAGAAGAGTTTGTGGTGTGTAAAGGTAAAGGTAAAGGGACCCCTGACCATTAGGTCCAGTTGTGGCCGACTCTGGGGTTGCAGCGCTCATCTCGCTTTATTGGCCCAGGGAGCCGGCATACAGCTTCCGGGTCATGTGGCCAGCATGACTAAGCCGCTTCTGGCGAACCAGAGCAGCGCATGGAAACACCGTTTACCTTCCCGCCGGAGCGGTACCTATTTATCTACTTGCACTTCTGATGTGCTTTCGAACTGCTAGGTTGGCAAGAGCTGGGACCGAGCAATGGGAGCTCACCCCGTCGCGGGGATTTGAACTGCTGACCTTCTGATCGGCAAGTCCTAGGCTCTGTGGTTTAACCCACAGCACCTTATTCCATGAAGAGTATACACATAAAAACTGATCCATAGTTGATATGGAATGTTGTTGCCACATGATGGGCAAAGTTTATTGTGGCAGTTGCTAAGTGAGGATCACGGAAGTTTAATTGGCAGAAAGAGATATTAATCACAAACACATCTTTGTTATTCTCTCCTGTTAAATCACTCTTGTCAGCTTCTGTGTGTGCATGTGAGTGTTCAAGTGGGAATATGTGTGTGCATATTTTTTCTTATCTATAGCAATATATTCCTAATCCTTCACCGGGGGAAAAACAACCACCACCAATCTTCTGGCTATCAAGTACTTTATCTGTCCTTGCAGAAAGTCTTGTTTTTCGTTTTGTTAAAAAAAACACCATAGAGATCTGATAACACCTACACCCCCCAAATCCATCAGTCTGGGTTGAAAAGTTCAGCTGATTAATTCCATGCTCTGAAATTTGTTGGAGCTTAGTCAAGTTTAGGGATTCTTGAATGTCAATACATTCAAAGTCCCCAAGGGATGGAAAAGATCTTGGAAGTATACTCACCAAAGAAACTGCTACCTTCTTTCTGCTTGGCAACTCAGAGAATCTTTGCACATGTGTGTTTAGTAGGGATGGGAAGAAATTAGACTAGGCTGGCATTTCCATGAGAAACTGCCTAACTCACACATTTTTAAACCAATACACAAATCAAAACACAACTATCCTCCAAAATTCGCACTTCTTTGAATTTTGAAGTGCAAATTCTCCAACGAGAAAATGTGTGCAAAAATGCATTAAAAATGCATAGGATTTTGGAAATTTGTTTGCAAAATTGTGCATATTAGCCAAAGCTGCATAAAAATGTGTGTATTACGATAAATTCACAATAAAGTGCTGCTGCTGCTGATGATGATGATTAATCATTTATTGCTACAGATAACTGAATTTAAACCTGGAAAAATGAAAAATTGAGAGAAACCAAAACTGTGTTATTGAAAAAAGAAGACTTGAGGCCAACCAAAGGAGATGTGGGAAATCTGTGATTAGATTATCTGATATGTTCATGTTTACCTTAAAGCACTCAAGGGGAGTACCAATTTTGATTGGCTCAGTAAGTGGCTGGAAGAGGGAGGGTTTCAATTCCCCCCAAAAAACTGTTTTCCTGATCTATATCATCACTCCAAAGCTGCTCTTAGAAGTGCAGTAAGGAACAAACAGAGTGTCTGTACTCCCCCAGCACCTAAGGCTAGTAGCGTTAAGGATGATTTTGAACACAGACAGTGGCACAAGAGGAAAAATTCTAAAACTCAGCACTACCGGAGCCCAATGCTTGATGAAGGAAAGACCGACTTTCCCCAAAAATATTATCTTAAGGTGCTTCCAGACATAGACTTAATATTGTGAATGGGTCACTGGCAACTGCTATTTTTAAATTATCAGATTTCCCTAATCCATATGTAGATTGGACTGGAAAGAAACATGGGTTGGTGTTGTGATGCCAAAGGCGTCGTAGGGATGCTATGAAAAGTTTGTGTACATGAGCAACAGAAATCCCACAATAAACAAACCCATCTAAAAGCATCCTTAGAGTAGGAGAGATGTGAAGACCAGCTGCCACAAATAAATTTCTATTTAAAATGTGGCATTAGTAGTAGTAGCAGCAGCATTAGCAGCAGTAGTTGTGATTGTGGTGGTAGCAGTAGTATTGTTTGATTTTGAATGTGGACTTTATCTTCTATTTGTACATTCCTTTTTGCTGGGATCTGCAAACCGCTGAAATAGGAAGCGCTGCATAAAACACAAAGAAATAAAATGCACACAGTAATGCAATTAATTGTGATCCAAGAACGAGGCCGGTTGAAATGTGTATCCGAAGTACCTTGCAGTCGCAGCCAATCGGCTTTTTGCATTCCTCGCACGTGTTGGAGTACAGGCTGTCGTAGCACTTGATGCAGTAGGGGCTGTCCTCCCTCAAAATGTACTTCTTGCCAAACAGTGTCTCCTTGCAGTAGTGGCAGTCAAAGCGCTCTGTCATTTTGACATCTAGGATTCTGCCTGCCTGTCAACAAGAAAACAAGCAGCTTTGGATTAAAAACCAGGGCTTTTTTCCCAGCTGGAACTCACCGGAACTCAGTCCCGGCACCTCTCAAGTGGGCGCCATTGCCATCCTAAGAGAACGAGGGAGGCGTTCTTGGTGAGTTCCGGCACCTCTTTTTCTAGAAAAATAGCACTGATAAACATGGTGTCTCCTTGAATGTCAGAGAGAGAAAGGTCTGTTTTGTTGTGAGGTGTCATTTGCTTATCATATTTGTATCCCACCATCCTGCCCAGGAGTTATGGGGTTGGCAAAATGTGGTTATTCCACCTAAAAGAGGTATATTAGAGGGACAGATCACCCAAAGCCATGCAGGTATAAACTCTCTGGTTCAAACCGATCACATTGTATGTACCCCTACCCTAGCCCTCAGTTTGCTCTTTCACGTCAAATTGTTACAGTAGTTTCCTTTATTTTAGGCAAGCTGCTGAATCCACTGTAGTGGTGCATAAACAAATAAGAAAATGCCTGATGCATCTTCTTCCCAGAACTTGGTCTCCCTCATACTATTTATCATGCAGGCAGACATAGGCCATATCTGCTCCATGGCTTCAAAGCATGATGCTGTGAAGTGTCAGAGGCATTGAGAGGTGCTAAGAGTTGTTAGGAGACCCCAGGGTGTTGACAGTTGTTAGGAGACGCCACCAATTCCCCTCACAGAGCTACAATTCTCAGCCAATTCCTCTTCCCAGGGAACCTCTCAGTACAACCCTCACAGAGCTACAAGTCCCAGAACCCTAAACAAACTACAGTTCCCAGGATTCTTTGGGGGGAATCACATGCTTCAAATGAGCTTCAAATGAATAGTGTGGATGTGACAAGAAGTTATTTCCATGCCGCCATGCAGGGGTGCCAACTTGAATAAAATACTGGGGGATCCCAGGTAAGCCCCACCCTGCACAAGTGTCATACTGCACACACAGTATTTGAATGACAATGCCCATCAACTTTATGGGGAGTGCCAAAAGGACCTCAGCCCCTAGGAGTTGTATGCGTTTGTGGTTTGTATTTGCATTGCTGATGTTGTTAAAATTGATGGGGTTTGGTTCATGGAGGCGTTATGTCAGTGGAGCTGCCTCCCTGTGGTTGGTTTCGAGAGGTTCCTTGCAGTGCTGAATGGTCAAGAGAACTGGTTTTTAAATGTGCAACAGGAAATGCAGGCGAGGTCTCTCTCTGTGTCTGTCTGTCTGTCTGTCTCTCTGATAGTAGCAGCCCACACATTTCAAGTGCGTTCAAGAAGACTTATTCCTGCATGCAAATATAACACATAGCATTCCTTGGACAGTGTCACCAATTGCAGATCACATGAGGGAGTGCTGGAAAAAAAATCCTTGCACTCAAAGAACAAAGGGAGGCGGCTAGGCTAAACCTATGCTTGCTCTATATACACAGGTGTCAGGGAACTGCCATCGGAGCCTAGAGTGGAGGTAAGGCTCCCCAACGATGCAGGAGAAGGGACCAGCAGGGGAAGAGAGAACACTTCCTTTGAGGAAGGTAATAGGAGTGACAACAGGAAGCAAGGGGGAACTGCGGAGAGAGGGCTCCAAGACTCTTCCACAGAGACCAGCGGGGAGAGCCCAGGACCTCCGTTGGGCACGCCCACTCTGCGCAGGAGACTTCCACGCAGGGAGGCTAGGAGGAGACTTGGCGTCAAAGAGTTTCTATGTTGGAAGAAGTTCAGGAAACGCCCACTGACGGATTCTGCCAGCGACTGACACAGCCATGGAGAAAGGGCTGTCCAGCCAGGGAAAGGTTTAGCCAGGCTACGTTGCCTAGAACAGTGGCACCCTTTACGCACAAGCAACCCCAACTCCCTGTACAACAGGGAGGTTTTGTCACATGGGAAAAAATTGAGATATATAACTCTTCCCTCCTACCTGCAGGCTGTGGTAGACGCCAGTTCAGGAAGGTCCGTACTATAATTTCTGCAGGGTTGGATAGGTTTTGATTCTGGAATATTTCTGAACTAAACCCCAACTATTTTAACTATTGTGTGGGAAATTTTTTCAAAAACATATATCGTGCTCTCGTTAGCATTATAGTAAAATATGAAAATATGCCCTCTCTGTATTCATATAACAATCCCAGAAACATTATAACACACAAGGGAAATATAGAAATTCCATGGCAGCCGTACTCTTTTAATTTGCCTTGGAGAAAAAGCAGATCTTAAGCACACCACACACAAAGACACACACACACACAATTTTCTCTGTTTTCTGCTGTATTAAGTAAGTAAGAGAGATATCGTTTACAGTCCCCAGAGAAGAAGGCTGGGCCCTAACCAAGCACATTTGCTGAAGAGTACCCCCACTGAACATAATTAGACTTACCTCCAAGTAAACATGTGTATGATTACACTGTAATAACAGGGCACTCTTGAGTTTGACCCTTCATAATTCCCCTGAGGCAAGTGTGGTACACTTATGCGAACTTCTGCACCGAAAAGCAGATTTAATAAAAGAAAAAGCTGTTGAAACCAGAGGCAAAAAGCTTCAGTAAAAATGATGACATGGAGTTTAGATGCCGACAATAGGCGACCACAGAACTTGAAGAAGGACAGGAGCTATGGGGGTCAATACCAGTTCCCTCCTCCTTGCCGGGGCATTGATTTGAAAAGACAACTTGCTGCATGTAATTTGAGTCAAGGAATCAGGTAATGTCAGGTAATTTCCAGATGCTCATTCACCGTGATTTGTTTGCACAAAGCTTGCAGGGAGGTTAGATGGTGTTGGTTATTTATGTAGCATTCATACTGATCTGCTTGTGGGGAGCTTTTTTTTTTTTATAAAAAAAATATCCATACAATTTACAGAGGTACCTCAGGTTAAGAACTTAATTTGTTCTGGAGATCCGTTCTTAAACTGAAACTGTTCTTAACCTGAGGTACCACTTTAGCTAATGGGGCTTCCCGCTGCTGCCGCACCACCACCACACAATTTCCGTTCTCATCCTGAAGCAAAGTTCTTAACCCTAGGTACTATTTCTGGGTTAGCAGAGTCTGTAACCCGAAGCATCTGTAACCTGAAGCGTCTGTAACCCGAGGTACCACTGTATATACCGCTTGATTGATGACATTGCATCATGCAAGCGTTATATCCCAGTTTCAAGCGCATCGTCTCACTGCTTCCCTTATCGCAAGAAGTCCAATTCTAAGGGGAAATTTTTGAGGAGCAAACCCTCAAATTTGCCAGTATGGGATGGACTCTTGCCCCACCAAACCACCAGAAAGCTCCCAGCCCTGCGGCATTCCCTGAATTTGGTCAGGTTTGCTCTTCATTACGTTTGTTATCTCTTCCTGCACCTGCCTTCTCTAAGCATTTGCCTGCATTTGGACCTCAATGCCAGACAGGGCTTTTTTCCAGTCAGAACTCACCAGAACTCAGTTCTGGCACCTCTCAGGTGGGCGCCATTGCCATTCTAAGAGAAGAAGGGAGGTGTTCATGGTGAGTTCCGGCACCTCTTTTTCTAGTAAAATAGCACTGGTGCCAGACATTGTCCAAACACCTTTCTCGTTGCGATACTCTCAGGGAAGTATCAGGCCAGAAAGGGAATTTCAGATGTACACTGGTACCTCTGGTTAAGAACTTAATTCGTTCTGGAGGTCCATTCTTAACCTAAAACAGTTCTTAACCTGAGGTACCACTTTAGCTAATGGGGCCTCCCGCTGCTGCCACACCGCCACCACACAATTTCTGTTCTCATCCTGAAGCAAAGTTCTTACTATTTCTGGGTTAGCAGAGTCTGTAACCTGAAGTGTCTGTAACCAGAGGTACCACTGTATCAGTGTGTTTTTAACTTAAATAGGAAGTAGGATTAGAATTGGAAAATGGGGAGAGGGCTTAACTCATACTACCGACACTGCATTGCTGAGGAAAATTTTCCCCATGTTGCCATTAGTCCAAGGAGTTAAACCACAGTCCCAGTAATTATCTCCCAGGTCCCTCTATTTAGGATTTGTCATTTTTTTTTAAAAAAAGATCAGATATGTTGCAGTTGTGGCCTCATAGTTCATGAGACTGACAGACTAGTATACAATTCTATGCAGGAATGTAGTTTTTCTTCAGTTATTTTGGGGTTTTGTTTTGTTTTACTGGTGTGAGCCTATTGTAAGACATTCATGATTTGTGCTCAATGTACAACCCCCCCACCCCCCCGGCACTCCTCTTTGTTTTCCTTCTTGAAAGAAAGGAAGATTTGTATCTGGAACATTTTGCAGACATAAATCCACGCAGGAAGAGGTGTTTGGAAAGGATTTTTGTTATTGTTTCAAAAGCTGTAAAGATTTACAAGGTCCTCTTTTTGTTACAGCCTAGCAAAACTGAACTACCGGGAGTAGCTCATTTATCAGTCCCCTACCAGTTTGTTGGCACAAACATTGCCTCTCATTGCTTCGCGAGAACTTTATGTCCTCCTTCCAAGAACTCTAATCCATTTTCCGATCAAAGCTACAAATCCCTGCAAACAAGAATGGAATGAAGAGAGTGGAAAATAAGAAAAGATGGTATGTGTGTGGATAGATGATAGATGATAGATGATAAATATAGATAGATAGATGATAGATAGATAGATGATAGATAGATAGATAGATAGATAGATAGATAGATAGATAGATGATAGATAGATAGATAGATAGATAGATAGATAGATAGATAGATAGATGATAGATAGATAGATGATAGATAGATGATAGATATAGATGATAGATGATAGATAGATAGATGATAGATAGAGATAGATGATAGATGATAGATGACAGATAGATAGATGATGATAGATAGATAGATAGATAGATAGATAGATAGATAGATAGATGATAGATAGATAGATAGATGATAGATGATAGATGATAGATGATAGATGATAGATGATAGATGATAGATAGATAGATAGATAGATAGATATAGATATAGATAGATAGATAGGTAGGTAGGTAGATGATAGATGATAGATAGATGATAGAT